CTGCGACTCAGGCGACGGTTCACTCACCGTGATACACACGTCGTTTCTGGAAAAAGAATCACTCTTAGTTTCGTCAATTTACGATTTGCCAACATTTGCTTACCTTAAATGAGTATCTTTTAGGGTGAAGTCGTGGTTTCTGTAAATTATTTGTTATGGTTGTAGTTGTAGAATATTCTTCCGATAAGAGGCTGAGCAGTTCAAACGCATATTTTTTATTTAATCAAGACTACCCTAGTGTTTTGTTTTTTCATGTTTTATTTACATCCTCGGACTTAAGCACCAGCCTGGAACTGTTTTACATTACTTCAGATTAGGCCTGGATTGTAATGGCATTATAGTCTATATTATGGATCCTGTCTCCTGATCCTTTGTCTGTTGAGGAGACAGGTTCCATACAGAGTATATTACTTGGATAAAATTCATTGGGATTGGAGGAATTTGAACCCCGGACCTCGGAGGCCAAAAAAGGCCCGCCCTCTACCACAAGTATCACTAGACGAGCTCGCTTCCCAAGACTATACCCCAGTAGCAGAAAAGATTGTCTAACTATTTTGCAAAAAGATGTGTAAACACGCTGTAAATTTACTAAAATCTAACTTTTAGGTAAATATTGTATAGCCTATAAAACTAATAAGACAAAAATAGTCCAGGGAACAAAATCATAAATTTTAATTTTAAAAGTAGTTTTCAACTTTAAAATCAAATTTGTAAACAGATTTTGTCATTTGAAACCATATTTTATCTATAAACTGTACCAACAATTCCTTCAACAGTAAAAAGAATTTCCTTCAATGCACCTGCGCATGCGCAAAAGCCATTTAAGCAGATTATGACTACATCAGCTTACCAGGCAATATGATCTGTCACCAAGAGAGGTTGGATTTCCAAGTATTTGGATTTTTTTTAGTTTTCTCTCTCTACCTGTTTGGTAAGTTATTTGTGTTTCTTTGTCTTAAGGCTGAGCGCCTGCCGCTGCAGCAAACTAAACCCGTGTAAGCACTGGTTTCAGGCCTGATTGGCACTTCAATTTGAAAAGTTAGTACCTAACCCTGTATTTTTCCCAATATTGATTAGAAATTTCATAATACCTATCTACTTACTCTTAATAAAGTAAATGTTTACTATTTATGTAGCTTAGTGTGTATAAATGAACTATTTACAAAAAAAATTAATAATAATTTAGCGAGAAAGCAAATATTGTTTCCAAAAGCTAAAAATTACTTTTACGCAATCCATCTCTATTCAAGTAGGCTACAAACCTTAGGTTAACTACAGAACCAACCAAACAAAAGGAGATTTACATTACATGTATGGAAATTAAACGTAAATCAATTCACCTATGAGGGCTACTTAAATAATTTTAAACAGTAATGTATGCATAATCTCATAGAATACCCTTCTAACTTTTTTGATTTAACCTAATCCACGACATGTTTTTTTTTCATAATAACAGTTTCAAGTGTATTAGTCTTACCTAATTTAGTCGTAAACTTAATATTTACAGCTCAAGAAAACTTTGATAAGTTTAATACAAAATATGTTTATTCAGACAAATTATTTCAAATTACTTTTATGATGCATTTTCCCCTTCTAAAATGAAATAACTGAACATTTTTTTAAAGTTCAAGGCACGATTCATGAACATCGATTCTATAGATGCAGACTATGTTTAAATATAAATCCCCCACTTATACACAATGTAACGAAAAAAGGAAAACACACACCACATGATGGTTTTTGTCATCTTTAAAACATTATCGTTACATAAATTCACTACAAATAAAGCACCAAATAAACACCGATGATAAAAATACAGTTATTTATAAGGTAAACAAATAATTGAGCTTTAAGAAAAACACAGAAATTTGAATATAAAAAGAATAATAAAATACCCAGTAAAATATTGAAAGAAAATAAGAAAATATAACACCACATTGAAATCAAAGATAAACTTATATAAGTTTCATAAATAGCCATATCAAATGTATCTTAGTGTTCTAGACACAATTTGGGTTTGTTTACTTACAGTTCCTTAATTTTTGTCATGTCCAAGTTCAAGTAAAAGAAAATAAGAAAAATTGACAAACTGTCAAATTATAACAACGTAAAGTTATGGTATCCATAAAAAAGAACATAAATACAAACTGGTCCAACTAGTTTTTTTAGTATTAGGTACCGGTACTAAAATTAAAAATACGAATACATTTTTGTTACATGTTTGTAACAAAAATATCTGTTTATATTATTTGTATTCTCCTCAGTATTACCTACAATAAACTAAATGCTTCGCCTAAAACTGAAAAGCCGATTTATGTATATACATGTTGTGTCGAAATAAACCTGTAACTCATTTTAAGCCATACACAGTGCATCGAAACGAAACTGCACAAATCTTAACCAGACTAAGCTTAACCTTTTGGTACTAAAAAACAAACTATTGAAAAATCTGTCAAAAATACTAGTCAACTACATGTCTTACACAAGACACATTTAGCTTGCAAACTATCACTGTGAGCTACAGAAACCAGTCGAAAGACCTATAGCTGGAGAGGAAGCTCAGAAGAGTAAAGAGTTGAAGAGGCGAGAACTGCGTAGAAGTGATTGCGTATTGCAGAAGCTCATGCTACTACGCAAACGCAATGACTACTGAATACTTGGCAAACCTTACCTTCAAGGTGAGTGATCGGACAGGCTGTAGGCAACAATACACTCTGTTGGCCCGGTCTCATACAGTAATACAACACAGGGATGGTAACAATACATTTAAATTACTATTTTGTGTTTTCAAAGAATCGAGTTTTGGCTACAAGTACAAGGACAGCGATAAATTTTGGTCACTATTGAGATTTCACTTTGGCCACATGCACAATGACAAGATTTCTTCATCGGAATAGTATTTAACTTTTTACATTTAGCTCAATGACACAACGACAAGGAATTCTCCTTGTTTAGCTTTCCCAATTTTAGATTACATTACATTTTTACGATGCCAACAAAGCAGGGTGTGTATTTTAAAACCGGGATAAGTGTTTAATGAACCATATGACAATTTCCCCCTGACTTATGATCAGCTGGTTTTTTCTCTTTTGTCAAAGACCAGCTGGGAGAACCATTGAAAATATTTTTCTGAGTAGAAGGCGAGCACTAAATCCACCCAGCTTTTTTGTCCATTGAGAGAGTTAATTTTCGCTCAACGTTAAATTTCATTCATCGGAATTTCATTACATGATAAACACACTTTAAAATGAGTAAAATTTATTCGGTCACTCATTAATAAACTTAAATGTTACCATCCCTGACGAAGGCTAGTTTAAAGAAGTGCATGAAGATTATATTTAGGCTCTGAATGAACTATTTAACTCATACTGTTTTAATATTCTAATTCATTACTTCGGTACAGGGACTATTCTCAAATTTATTAATCACTTGTATTGAAAAAAACTTCTAACTGCATTTATTCCATAAACTAAGCTGCTAGTATTTAATGTTAAGTATAATAAATATGAGTGTGTAAAGTTAGTAGCTTAAGTAAAACTAAGAGTGTTATTAATTATGTTTAGTTTAAGATTTTTGATAAGAATGAACGGTTTACCAACAAGTTAAAATTTTGTATTCAAAGTTCAAAACATTGCCAAGCACCAATACCTAGACCATGTTTTTATGTGCTGAAATCAAAACAGGTAAAAATCAAGGGCAAATGCAGGATGGTAAAATTGGAAATCTATAAATCCACGCAAAGCTAAAAATTGGGATCTAAATAAGGTTCGGATTATTTTAGTTCAGCAAATCTGGACTTGCACATTCAATTGGTCTACTGGACAAAGGAACATGGAAATGCACATTCAAGCAAGTTTTGCTTTCAAACATTGCAGTAAAAGGTGTTCAAACCACTTTCAAACCAATTAAATAGGGGTAAATTTATCTTCTATGGGAGTAAGATTTGTAAAATGAATAATGTATTCATGAGATTTTAATCACATCTATATTCGTACTAATCTATTAATTTATGGCTGAAATAGATTTACAGCAAAATAAGTAGTACTTTGTTTGATTGTAGTACTAAAAATTGATTCGCTAACAGATGTTTAAACCGCTAATAAAAAACCATAAAAAGCTCTATGTCTACCATTACGTTGTTGACTTATGGATACTGAAGTAGACATCCCATTTATATATAAATTTTTTGTTGTCCTAGGACGCTAGGCACATCACGGAATTGTTTTCACATTACTTAAGGAGATCTAGGTGTAGCAGCATTATTACTTAGATAAAATACATTGGTGATTAGGCAGGATTTGAACCTGGGACCTCAAGGATCCAAGTCCTGCACTCTAACCACTAGACCAGCTCGCTCCCCTCATTTATATTATCATGTCCATCACAATTTAAATTTCATTCAAATTGTACGCAGTTGAATAAGCCACTCTCAGAAACTGGTAAAACTCAAATTTCTCCACTATTTTCTGATACAAAGTGATAGTCAAAGTGTCACATGAAACATGCTTTCACAATACGCCATTTCTTTTGGGCTTGGTTAAATATTTTGCAATAATTTCCGCAGGACCTCAGATTAGAAGACAATATCAGTGGTAAATAAAATAATACATCCATAATTTGGTAAATACCGACACATAAAGTTAAGCATTCCATTTATAATGTTGTCATATAACAAAAGAAACAGCTGTAGTTTCTTATTACATAGGATCGCTCAACAGTACCCAATGTAATTTTGCTAATTTTAAGGGTCCAGAGGTCAAACTGCCATAAAACTCGGGGTATTCAACAAAAATCAATACGTAATACTAAAATCAGTGTACTCTATTGGTGGTTCAACTAAGTATCAATAGCTGACCAAAGCTTTAGTGACACGGGATGTCTAATTCTATCCATCGTCAATACGCTAAGTTATCTCAACATCTCTTCCAGTTTCACTCGACTATGTTCATTGTGCAGTGTGAGGGCTGGGGGGGGGGTGAGTGGACGTGTTGGGACGAGACTCACCTTGTCGGTACGTCGTCTGGCTCCTCCTCTCCGTTGGCCTGTGTGCCGGTGAGCAGCAGCAACGGCAGGTTGAGCCACATGGTGCCGAGCTCTGAGATGTCGCTGGCATCACTGGCTCGAGAGGACTTACGACTGCTCGCTCGGGAGCCACGGTGAACGTGCAGGAACGCTGACAACTTTCCTGTCGACCAGAGGAGTGCAATGTTACAAATATTGGGGAGTCTAGATTGTAACAGTTTGGTATTTAGGATTATACAGGGTGTTTCTAAATGATGGACAAGGTTTAAGCTCTTTAATTGGTTTTTAACTTCCAAACTCACAAATCAGACAAAAAAAATAGTTTTGTTAAAAATCTTAAAGTGTCCAATGAGAGCTTCATCCTTCATAGCCGATAAGAAAGTTCTTCCCCGATTTCATTTTGAATTGGGCCACCAAATCCCATTGCAAATGCATTTTGCTTGTGTATGTTCATGCTGACCAAAATATAGCTTTAGGGCAATTTATTTCATTTATAACATAACCAATGTCATCTATAGTCTCAGTACAGTATGTCGTGTCTTCATTGGAAGGTTGTCAACACGATAAAAAAAAGTTAAACACACGTAAACCGGCCAAAAACTAAAAAAGGAGGTCACATCGGACAGAAACCAAGTCTAAACTGGCAGGCAAAATGTTGGTGATTGTCTTTCCTTTGTTTCTTACTCCTTACTCCTCGAGTTAAACTGGTGTCATTTAATCCCAATCCAGTATTTTAATTGATATCATGAATGATTAGTTGATTACTAGGTATAGTTTAACTTGTCCTACAGCAACGTTTTGGATTTTGTAAATATAGTATCTACACATACCAATCTTCCCAAGTAAAATTTATTGAATTTGTTAAAAAAGCTACCTACAAATGCTACACCAGACCTGACACAACTCAAGGAGCTCAGTCAGCAGTAAAGGAATACTCCATTTTATTCAAATGGTTTTCCATGAACCCGCTAAGATAGAAATAACGGTCAGGTATGGTGAAAATTCATCTAATCGTGTACCACCAATTTTTAGCAGTGATGCTTAACCACTTTATATTCAATTTGATGAATTATTTAAAACTTAAATGTTATTATTTATGTAACAGATATCATAATGTGTAAAGAACTCCATCTATTTATTAGAACCACCCTGTATTTTCCAACATTGATTCACCGCTGGTTTAGGGATCGCTTGGATCCATATTTCCCCAACCAACAATGAGTTTTAGCTATGTGATCACGCCGAGAAACAGTTACCGTTAGCTGTTAGCTGAAGATATAGCTGTTGTTTTTCTGGTTATGAAAGCTAGATTATTTTGCATAACAAATCCTAATAATTATTGCCTAAAAAGATTATTTGACGATTTTTTTGGAATTATATAAAAAAACATGTCAACTTAAAATAAGTAGGCTTATGTTTATTAGGTGTTGAACACATTTTTAAGAGTAAATAAATATAAATTAAAATTACATTTTCTAAGAGGTTTTACAAACTATAAACTCTGATCCTGTGATCTGAATGACAGTTGGTCTCAAAACTTTTAACAATTTGTGTACATAATACAAAAATACTTTCTTAAAGCCAAATCTATTCTGCTTAGTTACAATATAAACAATGAAGGTCTAAAAATATAGAATTAGCAGTAAACTTGTGCTCAATTTGAGGGCGGTAGCTTTTCAGCCTTGGGACTTCACATAGTCATATATGCAGTCCTGAACTACAAGTAATTCAAACAGCAAAACTTTGCTTTTCAATTCCAGTGTTGACTATACATAAAATCAAAGCTACTACAGTGCAGTTGTTTCTACAATAGATTAATCTCTAGGGTCAGTTCTGAAGCGTTTACAAATTGGTTTACTCGCTGTTCGGCAAATACACTACAAGGAACGCAAGTATACTAGAGGACAATACTGGGATTTTGTATGAGGAGTGAAGGAGTTGGACAGAAGTCTGTGATAACGTGACACGTACGTAAGTTCTTACCAGGGGCTTTGTAGGCATGGAAATAAACAGTAAGAAATATAAGTGCAGGTGATCTTAATCTGACGATCATCCAATGTGAGAGGTTTTAAAATTTAAAATTAGATTTTAAGAAAAGGTTTTTATTGCAATCATGCGATCTCAACTCTTTAAATGTTTTTAATTAATTCTTTGACACCACAGGAAGCAAAAGGTATGCAACACAATCTTTTGGGATATTTAACATGAATTAATTCTATCTTACAGCTTCTGAAAATAATTCTCTAGTTTTATAATATTGCTTTTACCTATTTTAAAAGAAAAATTTGTCAATAGATTTTGGACTAGATTTAGTAATTTGACTTCGAATTTTAAAATAGTTAAATTTCTAGCTTAGTCATACATTTTAAAGTTAAAAACAAAATAGTTGACCGCAGTAAAAAAAATATATTTTTTTTAAATTAAATAATTATATGTACCTACTACCCATTACCCAATCCGTACTTGGTTACCTAACAGATTCCATGTAATTTTGTTTTTAAAAGTTAAGGAAAATCTGGGAAATGTTTTAAAGGAAAGGGTTAAACATATACCTCTTTTTTATACGTTATTTTGTAAAACTAAAAAATACATAAATATAAATTCCTTTATGTGGTCCCAATTTTAAAACTTAGTCAGTTTCACTTTTAATTTAATCTAAAAGATAAACTAACAGAGTCAAAATAAACTACCAAATTTTGGTCTTCAGGAAATTATCTGCCAAAAATCCTGGTGCAGCCATCCAAAGAGGAAGATTTGACAGTTCATTATTAGTTTGTTGCATATTAGTTTCACTACAGCACGTTTGACCAACTATTATATCCCTATCACATTCAGTTTTAAAGATTTATTTGAATGTTTTAAAATACTGTATTTGATTAGCTCTTGCAGGCTGGGTGAATGTTTCACTTACCTTGCCATCCGCCGGGGCTAGAGTTGTGAGTATTCTCATCTTCAGCATCCTGTTGTTCCTGCTCCTTCTTTCTTCTGCAAGTTTCAACATGTACGTTACTCAAACAAGTTAGAACATGAAAGGTAAGGACAGTGAGTTGTAATGGTATTGGAATAGTCCTAATAAGTCTAACACTTTAATTTTGATGAAATGAAATTATTATCTTATCCAACCACAGTTGTTGGTACAGTATGACGACTAGTTTTGTTCCTTTGAACTTCATCAGGTCATTTTAAATGCAACCACATTATCAATGTATTTAATACATTGCGGTATGTCAATTAGATTCTTTAAGAAAACTGTCACAATCACAATAACTGAAACTTGCCATGTTGATAAAGAAGTTAAAATGGAATAAAAATTGGTAAAACTGATTAAAACTGTACAGGCTGGCCAGCACTGTCTTACTACTGCCACTGACTAAATAAAACTTACTGAATCATGATGTTTCTTTTTCTTCAGTGTCACCTGTATTTCAATTTGTGTTTTTCTTATTTTATACTTCTTTGATTTGCAACTTGATTTGTAAATGTATAAGATTTTTAAAATATAGTCCGGCTATTTTCACCAAAATGTGTGGTTGTAATTTTGGGATTCAAAAGCAGTAAATTTAAAGACAGAAAACTTACACTTTTTACATGAAGGATGATTCACAAACATGGAAATTTTCCAATATCCATTTTATGATTCAGCAGAAGATAGGTAGAAACAAAAATAAATGTACAACCAACACTTCTCTGTACTTACCTCTTGTAGTCTCGGAACGCTCGCTGTATTGTTCTCGCCGCCTTATCTTGTCTCTTCCACATCCTCGTTGAGGACACAATCTCCAGCTCCTTCCTCGTTGGGAACTGCTTCTTGAACTTGATGTCCATCTGGTCTTGCAACTGGAAAAAAATTATAGGTTTTGGAAACCTCAGTACCTAAGTTTTTGGTCTGAATAACCATGCCCTTCAATCTCTTTTGTATTTTGCTGCTTGAAGTGTAGTGTCAAGTTTATCAATGTGATTTGTTTTTTTGACACATTATTGATGTGTCAAGTGGTCTGCCATCATCCAGAGTTTTAAAGAAGAGACTCTTCATTATCGTTATCGAATATAAACAAACATGTCCTGCCCACCTTAATCCACGGCTTATTGCCATTACCACCACATCTGTGTTTGTATTGAATCCTCAAACGTGGCTCAGGTTTTTTGCGATTTATATGATAATTGATCAATGGGAGCAGTTTCTAGTTACAGTAAAACTGGTAAAACCTCCATAACAATACAAACAAATAAATTAACATGCCAAAAAGTTCATCCCACTCCATTCTAAACTCACCCTGCATTAAGTACCTTAAGATACACGCCTTGTTGTCTTAAGTTTTAAAACTAGAAAATATTTTATAAAAAAATACAGTGCGTAGCAGGAATTAAAAACTCTAACTTACCTTCTTGAACTCCTCAGTCTCCTCGACATGTCCCAACACGTGTTTGACGAGTGCATGAAGGATGTCCAGGCAGTGGATCTTGTTGCCTCGCGCGATCGGCAAGTTGAAGCTGACCAGCGCCACGATGTTTGGCTTGGGGATGCCCAGTGGAGGGTCAAGACTCGCGATGAAATCACTCAACTGACCGAACCTGATGAACTGCGTTGCGTGCGGATCAAACCTGCGGACAAGTTGGTTTTATAATTAATCGCTCCTTCATGAAATATTGCATAATTTTCAACCATATTGTATCCATCCATCATAACATACCTTTGGTCAAGTAGCCTGTCAATTATTTATAATATTATAAAAAATAAATACAGAAATTTCAGGAATGCCACCGCAAAGCCAAACTAAGTAGTGCTGCTTTATCTAGGTTGTAAAGACCAGCTAACCCAAGAGCTAAAGTATTCTTAACAGTTTATGTAGTAATGCTCGCAAAGGCTATATGACTCATTCTCTGATATCCATGAGTATGAGTCTTGAACCCATCTCCATTAAACGGAGAGACCAAGTTGTTGCCCCCACCAGAACGACCAGATCAAAAGAGGATAACTTTTAGTGATTTAGTTTACGTTGTTAAGGGGGAACAGCTTTTAAAAGCTAACAATGACTTGTAACTCACAATCGACCTGTTCAAGGAGAGGTTCTGAGATACGTACTTGGACCAGCGGATGTAGAACATCTCCAAGTCGTCCTCCACAATGCCAATCTCCTCCTCTTGATGAGCCTGGTTGAAGTTCTCCAGGATGATGGCGATGTACATGTTGATGACTATCATGTAGTTGATGATGATGAAGGAGGTGAAGTATGTGATGGCTAGGAGAGGATGGCCGCAGTTTCCGTTGGGCTGATCGTTGAAGTTAGGGTCGCAGTCAGGCGGCTGGATCATCAGAGATTCCAACACGTCGTTCCACCCTGCTGACGTCATCAGTCTGGACAAAAGGTGATTAGCTTTAGACAACGGAGATGATTCATGATGCACTCTGCCTCATTTGACATTAGTCTTTAGATGGAAAGTGGAAATGATTACTCGTGAAATCCCGCCAAAGCTATCAGTCTGGTCAAATGGTTACAGGGGGGGGGGGGGGTCATTAAAAAGAGTAGAGTAAAACATTCACACATTCTTATAACATTAAGACAGCCATCAAGTTAAATTTTGAAAGATTTATGTGGCAGTTGTTGCCATCCTTTGGTGGGTGGGGGTGGGGTAGGGGTGTGAATTTATAGTAGTTGCTAATTGCTACTGTTGCTAGTATAGTGAAGTAAAACTGCATTTCATGGGGTTGAGTATTTTTTAAATTAACTGTCTGTAAGTTGATACTACTTTTTTTAACTGAGCTAAAAAATCTAACTCATTAAAAATAAAAATCACCACTAATGGCAATGGTGTGTTCTCCACGCAACTGAAAATTACCTGAACAACAGCTGCATACTGCGTCCGAATGTCTCAAAGTTGACCATGTCATTGAGTGCTCGTTGCTGCTTCACATGACCAAACACGGACATTCCAATGATCGCGTAGATGAACGTTATCAGAGCCAGGAGAGCTCCTATGTTGAACAAGGCTGGCAAAGAAACTACTAGAGCAAACAGTAACTTCCGTATACCCTTGGCAGCCTGCAAACAAACATGAACCAAACATCATACACTTAGACCGAACAACATATACTAGTAGGGTGCAAAGCTGAATCTGTTTTTATATAAAAAATCCAAAGTAAAATAAATCAACATTTGATCCTCTGCAATGTTCTGAGTTGTGAAATATGAAGACAACGGCAATAGTGGAATTAACAGTTTTGAAAATATTAGTTATGAAATGTTTTCAAATTAATGTAAACAAATAAAAATTTAAGGATGCTTCAATTGACATCATAACATATATTTTAGGTACAATGATTTGCGAGGACATAATATCCAAACAAATATTATCTTGGTACCAGGACCACAATAATTAAATTCATGTATCTGTTATTTTAAGTAATAGTGTTTCTATGAGGCAAACGATACCTTAATCAGCCGCAATATCCGGCCGATTCGGAAGACTCTGACAACTCTGAGCAGTGTTGGCGAGACTGGGAAGTCAATCATGATATCCTCCATGAGAATACCGAGGATGGAAGCCAGAACCAAGAGGAAGTCAAACATGTTCCAAGGGACGGTGAAGTAGTGATACCTCAGTCCGATTATCTTCACCATCGCCTCTGAAAACAGTTTTAGATTTTATCAGTACTATTTCTCTTATTCTACTTTAACTTCTTTCTATTTAGCTTTCCATCTAGGCCTACAAACAATTTAATATCGTGTTAACACTAAATTTAGAAACTAGTTTAATTAAGATGCTATAGCTTCGAGTAAATCGTCCTTTCAGATTGGATTGGTTAAGAAGTCTGTTTATAGACAAAAGAAATCATTTAGTTGATAGCTACACACTAGCAGCAGCTCAATTATATTACATCCAGTTTTAATTCTATAACAGCAACGTCTCAACTTTATTGAACCCTCCGAGTGTCCCTTGTTTTGGCCTTAATGTCTGCCTATTTTTTGCTCATTTGCAAGGTTTTATTAAAACGGATCTGAGAAGCTTAAAACAATGTTAATTCTACTGTTCTATATACCATTTTGTTTGGAAAATCATGGGCTTCAATATTATACATAGAACATAAGGAACATTTGTTTCTACAATATTTTCGGAACTAAAATGAATAGCGCTTAGAGACAGACCTCCGGAGAAAGCTCTGAATCTGTCAAATAAAACGATACCTAACTCGATCCAGTTCAATCCGATTTTGTCAGTCATAGAGCCTTTGCCGTAAACAGTGTTTTGTGTCGCTGCAGCGACAAATAACACTCGGAGGGTTAACATGGAAATAGGATGTCTATCAACAGGCCTAAACTCTAGTCAAATAACCTTCAAGATAATGGAATGGTAGAGGAGAGCTGACTGATTTTTCCTGATCTGTTTCATACAAATATTTTCATAAAACTTGTGGACCTCACCTAAATATGTTCAACATCACAAGTTTTAAGATAACTTGATGTAAAAAAATTTTTTTTTTTTTTACTGAAAGAACCAGTGTTTTACTGTATCCAGTAAGCTTATCATGCCAATTCAACTTTTCATACTGACCTAAGCCGAAAACCGTGGTGAAGAAGGCATTGCTAACTTCCAACACAAAGAATATTGCATGGTGTTGGTTGTAGTGCTCGATACCCATCGTCAACATGTTGAGGAAGATCAAAACAAATATTGCAATCTCAAACCTGAAACAGATTGAACAACGTGCTACTTTAATCTTGACAGTATATTGTATCATGTATAATTTACTTTATTGGTCCCATACAACATCTAAGAACACGTATATATTTAAATAATGAGAGTTCATGACAAAATATACTGTATTTGTTTCTCTGCTAGATTACACAGGTATTAATTTGTAGATTTTTTAAGTTCACTAACATTTTTAGACACGTCTGAATAAATAGTATCATCACAAAACTGCAGCGAATGGGCCACGGCAGATCATTTATATAAACAAAAGGAGTCCCAAAACATACCTCTGTGGAACACCATGTTCTATTGAAATGTTTTTGCTTCAAACCAACAAAACTATAATAGCTAGGTTTAGAAGAATGTTTGTTATTGTTAACATAGTGAAAAGCGTATTTGCTCAAAGCAACAAAAGTAGAACAAACAAATAGCATTACCTTCTAGAATTTGATAAATCATAAAACATTGCTAGGAACTGATTCAAAGGTCTCTTTATAACTTTCTGTGGTTTCTTTCTGCCCAGCTTCTTCATCGCTGTGTAGTAATGTTTTTGACTTTCCGTGAGGAACATTTCTAACACTCCCCCTTCATACTGAAACAAAAGAGAAAACCTGAAAATATAATGAACGATTGATTTTAAATTATCTTTGTCATAAATACAACGATGATATGGTATTAGACCAGAAATACATGTTTGTATCGCTTTAGACTTCCAAAAGTACCTGTATAAAAAATGTAATCACTACTTTTTTTAGTAACTACTGTAATTACATATTTGTACACGGGTTGTATGTAAATTAATTTTTCTTAACCTAGAGCTTGTTACTGTACTGTACATTACCTTTTTGATAGGAACACCACTAACACTACCAAGTATCATAAACCTTTGGTGGTCTTAAACACGGCAGTAAGCAAAGTTTAATCCCAACTGAAATCTCTGTCACGATAGTAACTTATCAACACCAGCTGCACGTACAAATTCACATAGCCTTCTGCACACTTTTAACCCACTTGAACATTCTTTTCGTCTAAGCACTTTTCTGCATGCACATCCGTCAACTGGCAAAATATTTGTTTAAGGATTGATACTCTTTACACAGAGACCAAATAAAATTTTCCTTGACCAGAGTCTAAATTTTCCTCGGCATTTTTTACAGTTACTACGACAATAGTTGCATAGGGTGAGAAACAGCTGGTATAGTGAGGCGAAAATAAAAGTGTGCACTGCTGTCAGATCACAACTAGCTCACTTGGACATGACTTAAGTTGTAGACATTAATACAACCCTTGTATTTTAGGTTTGAAACCAGCAATATGCATGTAAAATTCACACAAAAAATAGAAAATCGCCCCTTACATACCTTTTTCTTGAGCATATTGAAATTGTCTATAATTACTCCTATGAACAAATTAAGCGTAAAGAAGCTCCCGCATACAATGAATATAACAAAGTAGATGTAGGCGTACAGATTGGCCTCGTACTCAGGTTGCTCATCAACTCCTCTAGCATCCACTGCATCCGCCATCACCTCCATCCATCCCTCGAATGTAGCCTGAAACGTTCCATCTTGCATCAGATAAGTAGTCTAAAATAGTATATTTCATAACAAGAGTAGAAAGTGAGTCATATTTGAGACAATGTTTGAAGTGTGAGATTTATCAAGCAGTATAAGCTTGATATTTTAGCAATGCAGTTTTTTGCTGTGCTAAAAACATGTAAACTGTTCTAAGAGTGTCTATTGACAGCTATGTACGATATACAGGGTGAATCAGACCACCCGTGCACATACTTTAACAGGATACTTTAATACTTTATACAGCCGCTTGTGTAACTCACTAGACTCACTGATCAGTTACAGTATAAAAATGTTTACCACTTCCACAATCTAGGGATCTGACATTTTTTGTAGAGAACCGTCTCGGTCCCAAACCACCTAAAAAATTAAAAAAGTTCAATTTCAAATTACAAACCCCCCCCCCCAATAAATTTTCTTAAATCCCCCTTTTTTTGAGCAAAATATTTTTTTAACGGCTATAGCTCGAAAACGGTGAGAGCAATCAAAGATTTGAAGTAATTTTCATGGTCATGAATTAAATGTTCTACAAGACCTTTTATTTGCATTTTTCGAATATCACACTCCTTCACAATCAAAAAACAACCTACTTCTAAAATTTGTAAAATGTCTTGGATTTATTACAACCTTTTATTAACTTTTTAAATTACTTTTCGGACATATATTTATACTTTTAATGATCCTAACAATAAAAAAAAATGCTTAAATGACATTTCAAATTGCAACCCACAGAAAAAAATTTTAATGGCAGGTTTTCAATTAAAAGAGTTTTTTTACGCTTGTTGGGACAAACTGTTGTGCATGGGTGGGTTGATTCACCCTGTATTTTTAACAAACAAGTTTCTACTCACCACTTGAAATAAAGCTAAGTAAGCGTTTCCAACATTGTCAAAAGTAATTTTGGAATTTATCCACGTAAAATTATTATCTTTACACTCATGAATGTTTTTTACAACCTGAAACAACAACAACAGTTATTAGCCATAAATACACATAATATACCGATACATAGAAAATGATGTTTTCTTGATTTTTACCAGTATTTAAAATTTCTTCAGTAATTTTACTACTGTATGGGTGTTTATGATTATGAAAGGGAAATATATTTTTACCGAATATTTTATGTCATAGTCCACTAATCATAGTTTTGCTCAAGTAAATCTTATCAATGGTAATGCAAAATGAAATCCATACAGTGTGTAAATTAAGTATAGAAACAAATCTGTATTTTTAAAACCAAAATAAATAGAAATATTCTGTTTGTGGCATTGATTGTTAACAAAGGTTCCGCAATTTTTTACATAAAGAAATTGTTTTAACACCCCTAACAGGGTAAGGGGTAGGGGGTGACTTATTTTTGGGTGACTTTATTTTAAATTCTGGAATACCCGTCATTTTGGCTAGGGGCGAGATATCCACCTCGGGTTTACGTCATTACGTTTTTTTGACAAGCCCTTCAAAATTAGGGGTCACTCAATAGGGGTTGCTATTTGAAAAAAATAAGTCACCCTGTTAAAGGGGTTAAACAATGTTTTTTATGTAAAAAATTGTGGAACCTTTGTTAACAATAAATGCCACAAACAGAATGTTTCTATCTATTTCGGTTTAAAAAATACAGATTTGTTTCGATACTTAATTTACACGCTGTATTTCATGCCTGGTAATATTTGATTTTAAAAATTTAATCTAAATGTATTAAAATTAATTTTAAAAAATCAACAACGGATGTAAACGAAAAACAAAAGAAAAAATTAAGAAAAAAACTGTAAGGATGACTTACAGATACTGGAAGAAGCTCTCCGTCGTCATCAACACATTTGAAAAACTTTCCTCCAAAAAATTGAACACCCATAATAGAAAAAATGAGCCAAAACACCAAACACACTAACAGGACGTTGAAGATGGAGGGAATGGCGTACATCAACGCATTCACAACTATCTGTGAACAGAAGCATTCGTTAAGCATTTCAATTTTATTAAATTGTCCAACAGGACATTATGAAAAATTAAATTTAAAGCCACTTTATTTTGATTTTTTTCTGTAAACCAATTTTTATGTTGATTATACAGTAATCATAGTGTAGTGATCCTACATATTTTTTTCAGTTTCAGCTTTGGAATATAATTGAGTTGCTTATTGCAGAAACCCCATAAGCAACAATTTTTAAATTTTGACTTTTCAGTATACCTTGATGTATACCTTGATTGATGATGTACAAATTGAAATAAGCCTACATCGTTTTGTGCAGAAATCACACAACTGGGGAAAATAGTTGGTTATGGGGTTTGTGAAATAAACGATTCAAATGTATTTCCTATCATAGGAGTTAGAAACAAGAGATAATTTCACAGAACTCTATAGATATGTTACCTAGGTGGTTAAGAATGTACAAAATGCAAAAATGTTTGCTACCTACTCACCACAAATAAAATTACTCATGAACTCTACTCTGAACTGTTGTGAAAAATAAAAGAAATGAAAATAAATCAAATTTAAATTATGTAATTAGAACCAAAATCCGGAATTGAAGCAGACACCACATACCCTCATTCCCTGCCATCTAGATATTGCTCTGAGCGGTCTTAAAGCTCTTAACGTCCTTAAAGACCTCAGTACTTTGAGATTTTCATTTTCTTCTATTAATAAACTAAATATTGATACCTGGAAACATATACATTTTATTATTTATAAACACCTTACTCTAACAGGATAGATTGAAGTTTCTATACATTAAAACTGAATCCAATTGTTGGTTTTAACAACTAAGTAAAACAATCCGTAATGATATTAAACTTAAAAATTCGTAACTGTATGTGTGTATAACAGTTAGTTATAAAAACAACAAATGATACAATTATTACTGCACTTATATTTTATTTCATAACAAACACTTCTCTGATTTCTCTTTATGCGGTAAAACACTATTTTTTGTGTTAAATTGTTTAAAATAAATCTTTGTATTGATTTCATCACATTGATGGATTACCATTACCCCCTCTCATCGATTCCAAGAAACACAAACAAGTAAACCAAGTTAAGAAACACAAACAAGAAACCCAAGTTAAGAAACACAAACAAGAAGCCCAAGTTAAGAAAAACAAACAAGAAACCCAAGTTAAGAAACACAAACAAGTAAACCAAGTTAAGAAACACAAACAAGAAACCCAAGTTAAGAAACACAAACAAGAAGCCCAAGTTAAGAAAAACAAACAAGAACCCCAAGTTAAGAAACACAAACAAGAAACCCAAGTTAAGAAACACAAACAAGAAACCCAAGTTAAGAAACACAAACAAGAAACCCAAAATAAGAATCACAAACAAGAAACCCAAAATAAGAATCACAAACAAGAAACCCAAGTTAAGAATCACAAACAAGAAACCCAAAATAAGAATCACAAACAAGAAACCCAAAATAAGAATCACAAACAAGAAATCCAAGTTAAGAAACACAAACAAGAAACCCAAAATAAGAATCACAAACAAGAAACCCAAAATAAGAATCACAAACAAGAAACCCAAAATAAGAATCACAAACAAGAAACCCAAAATAAGAATCACAAACAAGAAACCCAAAATAAGAATCACAAACAAGAAACCCGAAATAAGAATCACAAACAAGAAACCCAAGTTAAGAAACACAAACAAGAAACCCAAGTTAAGAAACACAAACAAGAAACCCAAGTTTTGTGTTGTTTAAACATTTTCTGACCCTATGATGATGACTATTTATTAATGATATTCTCCAGCTCATTATTTGCATAATTTAAACCTGCACTGTTTCATATAAAGTACATTTCACATCAAGAAGTGTTTCACATGCTTGTAATTTAATTGTAAAATTCAATCTAAATTAACACAACACATCTCACATAATAGAAGAATCGTTGAGTTATACTTACAAAAACAATAATAAAATCTAAAGCTGTCCAAAAGCTAGTGAAGTATCTATAAAACCCCAATGCGATCCACTTAAGCACCATTTCAACGATAAACAGCAAACAGAACCCGAAATTAGTCCAGTAAAGAATGGTTTTGAGGAAGACGTTTCTGTCGAGGTAGATGTCCTCGAAGCAGAGGGTGATACTCGACGCAAAGATGAGTACGAGGATGACCCACTCAAAGGCTGGAGTGTCCACCACTTGCAGTACAGAGGTTCTCATGTTGGTCCACCACTGGCCCAGACAGGTGTTCATACAGTCATCACAGCAATGTGACCTGAGCAACAACATACAAGATGAGTACGAGGATGACCCACTCAAAGGCTGGAGTGTCCACCACTTGCAGTACAGAGGTTCTCATGTTGGTCCACCACTGGCCCAGACAGGTGTTCATACAGTCATCACAGCAGTGTGACCTGAGCAACAACATACAAGATAAAAACTATCAATGGGTTATTATCACTATCATTATGAGATGGTAACGCCACCTAGGTGCATATTTTAACCCAAATATAAGTAAAAGATGAGTGTAGAATGTTGTGAGGTGATCTGCGTAGCTTTGTTGCTGACTAAGATCAGCTGTTTCATCAGTCAGGATCATTTTTCACTTCAAAAATTATCAGAAATAAATTCAGGTAAATTCTGGGTCCAGTTTCGAACGATCAAAAAGCTGGAATCGATCCAGCTTCCTCGATCCTTACCTTCCTCAGGATCAAACCGGCGACCATTTAATTGATAGAGGAGTACTTCAACCAATTGGCTATCCAGCCCTCGCTAATAAGTGAACCCTGATTAGTAAAATACTTAGTTATTTATTTTTACTTTTTTGGAACGTCAGAATGTAAGCTTAACCAGTTATAAAATTTCTCCAGTTTTTGTAGCAATGCTGCATAATAAAGTTTGTTTACGATAAATTTTTGTTTGATACCTACACAAGCTTTGTGAAGATACCTTAAGACTAGAAACTATGTCAGTACCTACACTACTGTCTTCCTTCAACTAACTGCTGTATCTGTATCATATATTCATATATCAATGCTCTCAACGGAATCACGATCAACGCAGGTCGGACTCACCTCTGATAACAATGCTGTGGAAAACAGTCTTGTGGCACTTTAACAGTCTTATTTTGGCCAAAGCCTGGGAAGCTTCCGATCCCATCGACGTAATTCCCTTGCGAGTCTCGTCGGCCGCCAACTGTAAGTTCATCAACATAAGAAACTAGAGTTAACCAGGGTTTTTTTTTATTCGGCGGAGTCGCTTCCTTTTGACTTGGCTCCTCTTCGCAACAAGTTTCCAGTTTCTTCTTCAGCTCGTTTTCTGAAAAAAGAGAAAAAAACTATTAGTTACGTGAAGATCAAGAGTTGAGGCAATTTCCATTCATGAGTAACTTTGCATGAGATTCCAATGAGATGAAATAAAAAAATATAACACATATATTATTAGCCTGAACACATTTTTCAGCTAAATTAATAAGTCTGTAAATGTAAATAAACTATCAATCCCAATCAAAAATGTAAAGTTTATAAGTAAAAATGATTTTATTATAATAAACAAGCCATGAGCTGAAATAAAACAATTTCCATAAAACACATAAAAGTTCATGGTGGTTTTTCAATAAATGATGATTCAGCTAGTGATTATTAAAGCTACCTAAAGCAAATAGATGTTTAATTTACCATCATGTGGTGACTACTCAAATTAATCCACTATTTAAAAATAAAAATCATTAAAAGTATTTTGAATTATGAAAAATACCAAAACACAAACAAAAGATTAATTACTACCAGATCAAAAAATACAAAATATTATGAAAATGAATTCAAAAATTGAAAAAAAATATAGCATTTATAAAAATAGTAACCTCAAAAAGTATTTCACTCAAGGGTAGGTCTCACACTCAACAATTCTACGATAAAACCTTGCATGAGTCTCGTCCATATATATGTGACTTTATTACTCCGAGTCAAATCATGGAGTTTTGTGAATACAATAAACCCTTTGAGTGCTTTTTGACTTTTTCACTTATGTCCTCTTTTTTATACAGACGGTTCAAGCAGAGTACAAGATTGACTCTAGTTCAGACTTGTATTAGTTTTGAAAAAGATTAGTTACAACTCAGTACCTACTTCAGCTAGTGAGATGGTTTAAATTTTTTTATATGGCTTTGGTACAATAAGAATGCATTGGAGTGAAGCCTAAAAAATTACAGAAATGGTTCAACAATGATGAACCTTATACTGTAATTAATTTATGCGTTAATTCAACTGCCAATTTTGTAGAATGTATTGTGATTGTCATAAAGAATTTGTGGACAGATTAATAGTTTCTATCACATTACTCCTACTACAGTTATTTTCTTCAAGGTGAAATATTAAATTTACAATTTTCATCCTTCAAGAAAACTTCAAACTTGGATCATAAAATCTCTACACTCAAAGGGTTAATTGGTGATTACAACTCACCGAGATGGAAAGGTAAATTCTCCAACGTAGTAGGTAAGTAAAGACAAGGATATCTGGTGTTGGCAAGGGGGTTGGGTTATGATGAAATTTAACGTGCATGAAAGTAAAAATACTTCACTCTTGTTCGGAAGTCTAAGTGCCAAATTTACAAAGTCTACTCAGCAAATCCCTGCTGTATGTACAAGCTAGAGTAGTTTCAGTTTTGTCAAATCCACTCGCTTGCTGCAAGCGAAGTCATACCAAATGCAGCAAAAAAGCAAGCAAGTAGCGAGTTTTGTAGGACCAGTCTTATGTGCTTAGCGAGTATTCAAGCATACAAGCAAAAGTTCAAAATACTGTACAACCCTTAAAATTAAGAAAGTTAATTTCTAGAAGATATTGTTGCATTATATAGCAGAGGAGAAAATGAAAACAAATTTCAATGAAAATCGTTTGTATCTACAAGTGCGAAGTGTACAAAACCATTATTTGGTTTTAGTGTATTAATTGACGCTTTCAGGTCCAACCTTTGATATATCGGACACTAAACGTAACTTAACTTCCTCTTGTTTAATTTAAATGAGGTATAAATCCAACTAACACAGTTGAAAGTTAATCGTTGACATGTACTGCAAGCTGTAGATGAAGTATACGAGGGGTAGGTAGAGGAACAGCGATGTTATGGTAAAACAAAGGCTGAAAAATGTAAACCCTACTTTTCTCATGTTTAGAATTGATCTTACATTACAACTAAGATACTTTGAATGAAGACTATTCAAATTTCTCAAGATATATAAATATGGTACATGTATTAAATGCTTATCTCCCTTTTTCAAATACAGTAAAATTTGAACACCAAAACCCTCAATAATGAAATAATCCTAATTTCCTTCTTTTGTATTTTTTTCTGCTTCCCTAAAATTGTTTTACTTTTCTGATTTGTCCCTTTACCTTTTTAGGTCTAAGAGGTTTTTATGGAATAGACAGAATTTGGGCAAATAATCTATTTAAATCCCAATTGTATATAAATATACATTCAACAAGATGTAACCTCTCAGCAGACATACCTCTCAGGTTGACATACCGGTACCGGAACATGCCATCAAGTATTTACAATTCGTACTCAAGCAAAATCGACCATTTAAATTGCCAAGTATTAAGAGAGTTTTAAATCAAACCCCATCTCAAATTCAGGTAAAAACCTTAAACCATCGTTCACAACCAATGCTCGATTTGCAGAGGAACAGCGTTCTGGTACCTCTCAAAAACTTGTTGAGGGGGTCATAATTCCCATTAGGTTGCAGTTTCGACACCTAATTTTTTACAAATCGAGCAGTGTTCACAACTGTTATTTAACCGAACCATCCAAGTGCTTGTGACTGTGAAAAACTATTTCTAGACTAAAAGTTTGTCACTAATTTGTGATTGTGCTCTCTGCCACATAATCTAATAAAAGATCATAAATAATGTTTTTTCATATGATGAATTGTAAGATTAGAGTTTAACCCTGCCTATCTGCAGGTAACCCTTCCCATACTACCTAGGTACAATTTGGTTTAGAGATACACAGTAGATGGGTGAGATTGAAAAGTCCGATAGTCTTTGCAATTAATCCTTAACACATTTTGGTTTTATACTTCTATAGTGATATATGAGTGAAAAATGATTGTGAAAATTATTGCAGGAGATCCTGCAAAGAAGTTCAGATCTTTGCAATATTCAAGGATATTCCAGCGATCAAACTTGCCCTTGTTTGAGACGCTAACCCATAAAATCAACTCTATTATTGTACCGATTTCCAAGGAATCTTCTCACTATTTTTTACACCCCTACCCTAAAATGTGCTTGATAAACTCTTATTGTACGTCACAATGCTGTTAAGAGTCATGGTTTAAAAATTCTACCATGTCATATTGTATAAAAATTCAAACCAGAAAATTCCACACTTCTACGCTAGAAATGCCAAAAGTTTGTCCAAAAGCAAAGCAAACTAATGCTGTAGGACCACTCCACAAGGCAGATGCATGCGTCAACCAGAAGTCATCCAGTAATTACCTCTCGTTTAACTTCCTTCTGTTGGCTACAGTCGGTGGTCCGCCAGGTTTTCACTAATTATTTAAGGCATTTGTTTAACACATTAGTTCAACATGAGCTACGTAAGTTTATTAGTTATTTTATTTGCGGATTACCATTTGATTACTTTAAATTACAAACATATGTTTTATTTCCATTATATGAGTTTATATATTTTAATTTATGGATGTTTTCAACTAGAAACTGGAAAGTTACAAAACGGTATAATGAGTCAAACATTAATAGTGCTACTGAAATTTGTTACAGTATTTACTTAGTAACTTATAAGATTTATATAAAAGCTATTTAACAAAGAAAAAAAAAATTATCTTTATACTACTTGATTGTAAACTTAACAAAATCTGTTATTTAAATACTGTTAAGGTGAAACAAAAAATCTACTCTGTAATTATTATAGCTTTCACTCATTCAAATTAAACATTATTTTTTATTTCATTACCAATAACTATACTGTTAAAATCAAATCCATAGCTTCTAAGCAAAACCCTGTATCAGTCTAAATTGTTTGATATTTTTAAAACCTTAACGATAAATCATTACATATGTCCATCAATGCAAATGTGGTTGAAACCAGAAACCCAGTGGAAGCGTTAGTGTTAGCGACACTCGAGATACATGCTCGTTGTGTGTCGAGATATTCACTCGACAGTGAGCCACTTTGAAAATGATCATGCTACAGATCTTACAGTAAAATTAGCCTAGGTTGCGTTTTGTCTGGTCGTCGTCTTACCCTCTGAACTCTCGCGCCGTGTGGCCAGTTGGTAGGAGCGTCGGTGCAGCCCATGCGCCGGTGACGACAGTGATCGTCTTCGCTCCACAAGTCTCGGCGAATCATCCACCCTCGGCAGGTTTAGTTCCGGAGCGGATATGGTAGGAGCGACACTCATCGCCTCCGCCATGATGCTCGTGTACAACTCGTCTTCTCTGATGTCTATGTCACCCTTCTCCCTCTCCTCCTCGTCTATGCGTATCCTTACGTCGTCTCCGTGCAGTGGAATAACAGTGCAGAGAGGGTTGTCCGGGGAAGGAGTTGCGACTGTCTCCACGCGCAGTCTTGGTGGAGGTGATGTCACTTCGTAGTAGCTAGGTAATGTAAAACATCTCTCAGTGAACAAACAAATATCGGTTGACCAATGTATTTCTACATATTGAAAAATATTAACTATTGATCACCCAATGTGCTGAAGACAAAATTTTCATTTGATATAATGTATTACCAAACCTTATTAAAACAATTGAATATTCCCACATTAAATAATGCATGTTAACAAAACATTTCAAGCATGTCATGGTTTTTTTAGTGTATTTTTGTTATCGAATGATGGTATAATGCCACTGATTAAGTGAAATTAGAATGAAGGTAGTGCAAATCCCCTTACTCTGACTTTCCGTCTAACTGGGGAATGGAGAATTATTTAAGGCCCAGTACAGTCTCAGGTAAATAAAGACAGGTTTCATCATACAGACTATAGACCCATTACAGACTGGACTCCTGGACTAGAATCCGAGGATGTTTTGATGTTTAATGGCTTACTTCAGTGAATAGCTGAATAAAATATAGTAAAATTTAAGAAGTCAAAAACATAATCAGTATCCAATGTAAGCAGCTATACCAACTCGACGACATCATAGTACTACTGAAATAAAGTGTTGCATTACACAATAGTATATTTTATTACTAGGACCGAAAGTGGCGTTTTCCGGCGCGTGCTCTAGTTTTTGTGTGAGGCGAAGCCTCACACAGGGAACCCCAATTTCACGTGCGAGGCGAAGCCGAGTATGTGAGAGTTATTTCAACGTACGAGGCGAAGCCGAGGACGGGAATAATGGAGCAAGTGCCGGATAATAACTTTCGGTACGAGTTATGAACGATACTTTTCATCACGACGCAAAAATACACAAACACAGAATAGCAGACCTCAGTAATATTGCAACTGTTTTACTTCTCAATTAATTAGATTGACATCAAAATAAAATAATTTTTTTTTAAAAGAAACCTAGGTTTATTTTTGATTAATTTTTAAAACAAAAAATAGGAGAAAATATTCTAAAGGTAGCCTACGTATATTTTTCAATAAATTTGGTTTAAACATCAAAATAAAAGAATAAAACATTTGTCAACCATACACACAGCTGATTCAAATAATTAAATTAAACCGTAACAAAACACTAGCGCGCGTAGTGAATAAGTGGAGAACTAATTGAGAGCGAGGGAAAGTAAATTTAGAAAAATCAGCGAGGGAAAATCAGCTGTTCGATTTTCCCTCGCTCTTAATTAGAGCTTGGGAAACGACTACTTTCATTGATGTCAGCTGTTATCGAAAATAGTTACTTTCGTTACGGAGTGATGAAAATTAATTTTACTTGCATGCGATTTAAGTAAACAGAATTCCTCAGTAATAAAGAAGCTGTAAAAGTATTTATATTTATACCCAGAGTGGCGCTGAGGAGTGCTGTGAGAGCTCGGGTTCTGTTGGTAACACTGAGAATCCACCTGAGTCTTCCCTTCCATCACCTGTTGTATAGTCCGACAGTAGGCTCGGTCATCCATGTACCTGTCCAAAAAGACTAGTTACTTTTCTGCAAAAGGCTGGATTTGCTTAGGGTAATAACTTCTGTAGTTTTGACAATATTTTAGGGATGGTCAAGTCTCGAAATTTCGGGAAATTTTTGGGAAATTTTAATTCTCGTTACACAAGACGAGATTTCTTTTTGGCCGAGATTTTTATTGAGACGAGAATAAAAAAAAAAAAAAAAAAAAAAAAATTAAAAACGCCTGCAGAAAGTCAATGCAATACCCGCAATACAGGAGCGTGTTGTAGTTGCGTTTCCTTTGCGAAGGCGTTCTTATTTAATTAATTCTTTAAATGTAAATATTACTTTTTATTTGAATAATATTACTTTAATAACATTTAAGTAGTTTTGTTAAGTGTAAGCAGTGTAAGGAATGTTTTATTACTATAAAAAGTCAAAACAAGTAACAAGTAACTATTTTATAAAAATTAATATTGCTTTTATTTTATGATTTATTTTATTTTGGGATAAGTTGAACTCTATCCTAACTGATATCACTATGTTTCCTAATCGTAGGCATTTTTAATAAGTTAGGCGTGATTAATAAAAAAATGTTATGCTGATGTTTTTTAATAAAAGATTGTAAATATTCTTGCCTATTATCATTATTTTTGTATTTAAACAGTCATCTAACAATGTTACAAAATCAGGTAAAAATTTTAACGTGCATTTCCCGTTGTGTATGAGAAGGGAAATCCCGTCTCGATCTCGTCTCGAAATTTTATGAGAAATAAAAAATCTCGTCTCGTCTCGTCTCGAACTAAAAATCCAATCTCGTCCATCCCTACAATATTTCTTTTATTTTACCATGAGAGACCGAGAGGCGATCAGACCTGAGATTAGAATCATAGATAAAACATACTCCCTTAGTAGATTTCTCATCCTTTTGGAACAGCTAAAGACAATTTTATTGTTAGTTCTGTCCGGTGCGCTGTAGAGGTTGTGGTTTGCTTACAATATGTTTCTTGTTATTTCAGTCATTTAAAACTCGTTTAGCCAAATAAAACCATCTAATCGTAAACAATAACTCGTCCCATAGTTGAATACCGAATGAGTAAAGCACAAATCATGAACTCAACCCTAAAATAACAGAAACAAAATTTCGTTGACACTAGCGATCAGTGTCACCAGACATGAACTAGACACAAAAAATTAGCTTCAAAATTTACAATGGGGTGAGAAGTCTACTTGTGTTGGTTAGTCTATGGTAGAATCCTGTAGTAAGAGAAACTTAAGCATAGTAAATGGTGCATTGAAATTGGTGCAAATGGTGCACGATGCATTGGTTATAACAAATTATTGTTAGCTTAAGTGGCTGTCACCATGGACTTGCTGATATTTGTGATGATAGACAAATTTATCGATGGGCGAGTCAATGATAACTGCATTTCGCCAGTCCGCTCTCTTTAACCTAGAAATGTGGCTTTCCCGCTCAAGACACACTCACTAAGCTATTGTGGTCTGATTGTTGTAAAACCATTGATCTTTTGGCGAAGCAAGGTATATCCTCTATATCCTCAAATGAAATATTTCTCGGTAGAAAAAATGAAAGAAGGTTTTATGAACCTCTTGGACGACAGTCCAATAACACTTCTATCAAGTTTTCAAGATGTTTTTATAAATGAGCGAGAAGCAATAATTTGTTGCAGCACTTCTGAACATTAAAAAATTAAATATTATATTACCTCACACTATCTCTCGGCGAGTTGCTGATAGATGTCTCTTGAATACCACACTCTTTCTTCTGAGACACAACTTCCCTCACTAGTTCTTCCAATCTGAAGTTCTTTTCATTCTCATTCTTTTCTATTGCTTCTTTTCTCTTTCTTTTGTTTTTCGCAATTATTGACTTGATTCTTTCGAAACTTCGAGCGATTTTGGAATCCTCTCCAACCTCCTACAAGACGTGAAAACATTTTTTAAACTTGTTAAAAATCATTTTACTGACATAGTATGCTTTTGAAATTCCTGAACTGAAGGTTACAGTTTTACACTTCATTCTTCATTTATGTGTTTTTCAAGGGTAATGTTACAATATTTACCTATCACTGTAGTTTATTTGATCAAAAAGAATGATTTTGTATGCTACTATCAGTTTTATTCAATATTCAAAATTTTTTATGGGTAGGTATAATTATCCTACCTTACATGAGTAGGTGAAAAATGGGAAATTTAATACAAAAATTTAATTTTATTTTTTACTTACATATAGAGTTTTAATAATCATTTACTGTTTGAGACCAGTCTGCAAAATGCCTTTGTTATGTTTATATTTGCGTTTGGATAACCTTTTTAATGTATTTCTGTTTTATTATAAAATACTTTTGACCACTGGCCCAATAAATTAGTACATTCATGAACTTAATTTACAATCTTTAGAGAGTAAAGCTCGGTATGAATTTTTATATACTCGTTGATCCACTATTAACTATTTAAGAAGAGTCACTCTAAAACATTTTTGAACATTTTAAAAACCAACACAACGATTATCATGTTTGAAAGATTTTTTTTACATAACTTACACCAATAACTGACTGCCAATTTTTTTTTTCAACAATTTACTTTCAAATAAACATACAGTAAGTATCAATCTAAGTTTTTTTCTGTAAAATAAAGGTAGGTACTCAAATGAACTAAAACCATAATAAATCAAATAATATTCTAGAACACCAACATGTTACCAACTACCTACTTCACAATGAAACATACTTTACAATACAATACAAATCAAGTGTTTACACAAGACACTAACACTGAGGGAGAGTTTAAACATTTTATCTCAGAGAAATGTTTTTTTACAATGCAACTTTTCCAGTACATGGACATCTTGTGCTGAAAAATGATTTGTGCAGCTTACGGCAGAAAGCTATATTTACAAAACATAGACGAAAAAATGTGTACTACTTTGATGAAATAAAGTATTCAAATTATGTCACACAATCATAATTATATATTATGACTATGACACAAGATTATGTATTAGGATTTTGACAGATCCGGTTTAATTACTTTGTCTTTCAGTAGGCCTACTGTTTGTTTTATTTTCAATCGTATGTAGATCTCTAACTGTTGACAGAAGATTAATATACTATACCTACACAACTTTGACAAAAGTCACTGTCACATAAACTTTGTACACAACGCCATGTATTCAAGTTGAATCAGGTCACATTTAGCACAAACAAGTCGTTAGTCTGGATCATAAGCAGTTCATCATGGGTTTTAGAAGAAATTGTTAAATGTCAAGCTTTTATTGCAGCAGATGAATGGGAAAATTTATGAACCAAAAATTATAGTTTATTAAGTTTAACACGTTCGCTGCGGGCTACTATAATTGTGGTACCTGAACATCCCACGCAACAACAAATATTATAAATTATAATAAAACGTTTATTTGTTATTATAAATGTAGCGCTGTGCTCCCCTTACTGAAATTCCCTCGGTGTGAGCCTAGCAATCGGTGGGGAACGTTGCTATTGTTGTCGCGTGTAGTGTCCGTTTTGTACGTCATTTTGGTGCAATTTCGTTTTCGGATCGGCCATTTTTGTATTTTACTGTGTCAGTCCTTTTTGAACGGTGTAGTGTGGGGTTTTGGCTTAGATATAGTGACATGGTATAGAGCATAACGACTGTAGTGTGCAGTGTGTAGCATTGTGGAAGGAACCTAACCTCAAAATTGTGCTTGATACCTTTTATGGTGTATCCGGGTACTTTGCCCTAGCTTTTTCCCCCATTTGGCAATACTGAGGGCCTGTTAGCACTTTTGTTTAGTGCTGCTATATTCGGTTATTATAAAGCTATGTCCACAACTATTGTTGGAATACAGTTGTGGCGTCAACTTAGCCACATCTGTGATGCCTTTGGTCTATACTTTATTTAATATTTATTATGTAACAGCTGTTGCTAGTTTTGTTAAACATTTAGTTTTGACTATGTTATGATTCAGTACACTTCTTTATTCGTTTTTAAATAAATCATTATTAAATATTCGTTCATATAGTGGTGAAATTAATTCATACAGATTACACACCCTATATATTGGTGACCCCGAACAACAACAACCAGAAACACGACATTCCTTCATCAATATTACCAATGTCGCTAGAAGAAATCGAAGCTCAATTAGCGAATCTACGACAGCAACAAGATGAACTATCTACCAACGTTCAGCAACGCAACGACCCTGGTAATGTATCAGTGAATCGAGTTGCAGTAAAGCTTCCACCATTCTGGGCCGATCGACCTAGTCTATGGTTTGCTCAGGTAGATTCCCAGTTCGCCATCTCAGGCATCACAAGCGATGACACTCGGTTCCACTACGTCGTTTCTCAGCTTGAAACACGTTACGCAGTGGAAGTAGAGGACATCATCACAAATCCGCCTGCAACGAATCGTTACGCTGTACTTCGTTCGAAGCTTATTGAAAGGTTGTCTACTAGTGAAGAAGAATGTGTACGCCAGTTGATCAGCTACGAAGATATCGGAGATCGCAAGCCATCGCAGTTCTTACGCCACCTACGTACTCTGATCGGTCCAGCCCAACTACAGGACAAAATCCTTCGAGCACTCTGGCTACGTCGTCTCCCTATTAACATACAAGCGATCATCACAGCTCAAAATGAACTTCCACTGGATAAACTTGCAGATATAGCGGATAAAGTCATTGAAGTTTCTACAAGAACACCACAAGTATCAGTAAATGCTACAAAAACACTTGAACACACACAGTCTAATGACGACCTCACTGCTGCTATTTCGAGATTGACGCAAAGGATTGACGCACTCGAAGTATCACTTCAGCACAATCATTCGACCAATCATGACAAGAAAACATCAAAGAACGCGAATAAAGATTAGCACAAATCTACAAGTCAAATCTGCTGGTATCATGCTAAATTTGGTGAGCACGCGTCAAAATGTACTTCTCCTTGCTCTTATGCGGGAAACTCCAAGGACGGCCAGTAACAGCGGCGACTGACTGTCGAGCACCCAGCCGCAGAATTTTTGTCATGGATCAAAATTCGAAACTCCGGTTCTTGATCGACACAGGCTCTGACGTATCATGTTATCCAAAACGTCTTTTACGAGACCGTCGCACATCTACAGACTTTGAACTAAGTGCCGCCAACGGTACTACTATCAAGACTTACGGAACTTGTTCCATGACTTTGGACCTAGGCCTTCGCCGTAGTTTTGCATGGCAGTTCACAGTTGCAGATGTCAGTGTTCCAATCATTGGCTCGGACTTCCTCAGTTATTACCATTTGCTTCCTGACTGTCGTTTGTTGCGACTTCATGATGCCAAAACAGGACTTATCACAGGAGGACAACTTTCCGTTACGACTCAATGTAGCGTAAAATCCGTAGTCACTACTTCTCCCCTCTCTAAAATCTTGCATGAATTCCCTGAAATTACTCGCCCTCCAGGATTGCCTCGAGAAGTGAAGCACCAGACAGTACATCATATACACACGACTCCAGGACCTCCTGTATTCTGCCGACCACGACGACTGGCCCCTGAAAAGCTCAGCATTGCAAAGAGTGAATTTGCCGACATGGTAAAATGTGGTACAGCTCGTCCATCAGACAGTCCGTGGGCTTCACCCCTGCATCTGGCGCCAAAGGGAGAAAATGGATGGAGACCATGTGGAGACTACCGTGCATTAAATGCACACACCACTCCTGACAGGTATCCTGTTCGACACATTCATGATTTTTCAAATAACCTTTCAGGCTGTAACATATTTTCTGTCATAGATCTAGTAAAAGCATACCAACAAATCCCTGTACACCCTGATGACCTATGCAAAACTGCTATCACAACTCCATTCGGCCTTTTTGAATTTCCATTCATGACATTTGGGTTACGTAATGCTGGCCAAACATTCCAGCGTTTCATAGATGAAGTAACCTTAAACTTAGATTTTACGTCCAGCTACATTGATGATATTTTAGTGTTTTCCCGATCAATTGAAGAGCATGAGCAACATCTTAGGACTTTGTTCAAAAGACTCCATTCCTATGGCGTTATTGTAAATTCGTCCAAGTGTGTTTTTGCAATGCCTGAAGTGACGTTTTTAGGGTACAAAGTTTCAGCATCAGGTGTCTACCCTCCACAAGATCGAATATCTGCTCTTCAGGAGTACCAACTGCCTAAGACAATGCGTGGTCTTCGACAGTTCCTAGGTATGATCAATTTCCATCGTAGATTCTTACCTAAAGCCGCAGAACTCCAAGCACCTTTACACTCTCTGCTTGGTGGTGCAAATAGCAAGGGATCACTTCCTGTGCCTTGGACCCCAGAGACTGAGGAAGCGTTTCAAGCTTGCAAAGCTAGTTTGTCGTCGGTGACTCTCCTATTTCATCCGAAACATGACGCCCCTCTTGGATTGTTTACAGACGCCTCTGACGTTAGTGTAGGAGCTTGCCTTCAACAATTTGTTGAAAATTCCTGGCAGCCACTTGGATTCTTCTCTAAGAAACTTTCACCAAAGCAAAGCTCTTGGCCGGCGTACTACCGTGAACTTCTAGCTGTGTATGAAGCAGTTCAGAATTTTCGTCATTTTTTGGAAACCACGGCATTTACCATTTTTACGGATCATAAGCCACTCATCTTTGCTTTTCATCAACGTCGTGAGAAACTTCCACCTGTTCAACTACGTCAGCTTTCATTCATATCCGAGTTTTCTACTGACATAAAACACATCGGAGGTTCAGAAAACATTGTTGCCGATGCTTTATCACGTGTAGAGGCTATTTCATGTTCATTGGATCCTGAGTCAATTTCCAAAGCACAAAGCTCAGATGACGAAATCATCAACCTCATAAACAACAACAATTCATCTCTCAAAATTCAGAAGATCAAAATCCCTGGAACAAACTCATTCATCTTTTGTGACACTTCCACAGGGACCCAAAGACCTTATATTCCAGTTGAACTACGGAAGAGGGTATTTCATTCGCTACATGACCTCAGCCACCCAGGCATTAAAGCTACTGCAAAACTTGTAGCAGATCGATTTGTCTGGCCAAGTATTCAAAAAGATTGTCGTAACTGGGCTCGTACTTGTGAGCGATGCCAACGTTGCAAGGTAACACGACACGTTCATGCTCCTCTAGGAACATTTTCTTTACCATCATCACGTTTTGAGCACATCCATGTTGACATAATTGGGCCTTTACCACCAGCAGGACCATACAAATACTGTCTTACAGTCATAGACCGTTACACTAGATGGCCTGAGGTTCATCCTTTAAAGGGGATTACTGCAGAAGAAGTCGCCGAAGGTCTAGTCTTTTGCTGGTTTTCTCGTTATGGCGCTCCTTCAAAAATAACTACTGATCAAGGCCGCCAATTCGAATCATCCCTCTTCAAGTCCCTTGGAAAAACTTTCGGCTCTGAAAGAATCAGGACTTGCAGTTACCATCCCTGTGCAAATGGATTGGTGGAGAGATTTCATCGTCATCTCAAAGCTTCACTGATGTGTCATCACGATTCATCCTGGCTGGAAGCTCTTCCAATACCGCGAGGATCTTCAAGCATCAACGGCAGAAATTGTTTTCGGCCAACAGTTGAGACTTCCAGGAGAATTGTTTGATCTCCTTGTTGACGGACCCAGGCATGAAGATCCTTCTGATTATGTTGTACGTCTCCGTCAGTCAACACATGTCTTCAATCAGACCTGTCCAAGCTTCACGCCATGTCAAACCCAAAACTTTTGTATTTCAGGACCTTAGAAAGTGCACCGATGTTTTTCTAAGAGATGACTCTGTGAAACGTGCCCTACAGCCTCCGTACAACGGACCATATCCTGTAATTTCTCTTGATGAAAAATCCTTAGTAATTTCACAGAATGGCAAACAAGTGAGAGTGAGCTTAGACAGGGTGAAGCCTGCATATGTGTTACCTGACAAATGTAATCACCCAACAATCAAAGAGGCTTCTCAACCTTCAAACACATCCCTCAAGCCTCCAAACCCGGCATCATTGTTCAGAAACTATACAACTCGGTCCGGTCGAAATGTAAAGCTCAAGCTTCCTGGACTTCCAGTCTCTGCGGGGGGCTGATGTGGCGTCAACTTAGCCACATCTGTGATGCCTTTGGTCTATACTTTATTTAATATTTATTATGTAACAGCTGTTGCTAGTTTTGTTAAACATTTAGTTTTGACTATGTTATGATTCAGTACACTTCTTTATTCGTTTGTAAATAAATCATTATTAAATATTCGTTCATATAGTGGTGAAATTAATTCATACAGATTACACACCCTATACAGTACATGCTATAATATGCTCTTCTAATAGATGAAACTAAATTTAAACATTTTCACACACTCATCCACGTAGCACATAAGCTGTTCCCGCAACCGCAGCGAACGTGTTAATTTATTCAAATTATCTCGCCAAATGGTAACTCATTGAAAATATAAAAAAATTGAGAGTGACACCTTTTTGTTAACAAAACTTTTTTTAATAGTTTTTGAAAAGCAGGTTTGTATTTGTGTTGTAAAAAACTTAGTGTTTGACATGAACAAATTAGATTTAAAATCCTTGTTATCACTATCACTGCTCCCTCATTGTACGGCCAGTTACAATACAACAGTGGACAGGTTATACACACACACTATCTATGGGTTGGAACTACTCAACACACAATACTTACCATGTTCGTTGACTACTCTGGAGTGTTAAGTATGACAAACATAAGGTGCAAAGTGCCTCAACCGACCAAGCGGTGATTATGTCTGAAATTGTGACGCAAATTCACTTGGGGTCTTCATTTTCATGTTTACTTTCATAACATTTTACAAACAATTTTTTATTTTTATTTATCAATTAGTTTTTTTTCATAATATTCAATTATTAAAATGTCAGCTTTGATAAAACTTCCGATTGTGATTCCTGCTTAATAGCGTTCCAAACTATTAAAACTCCTATTATATTTATTTTTTAATATTTTTGGCAAATTTTTAGAGACTATTTACAAAATATAAGTTAATATATTTTATAGTTTTAATAGTTGCACTTTAGACTAGGTAACTGAAATAAATTATGAATATTTCCTCAATTTATGTTGTGCATGCTTTACAGATGTGGATTAGTAAAATAAAATATTTCCTTTTAAAAAGCCACTCTAAATCCATTAACAATATTCCTTTCTAAAATTTAGCAAATTATTTTATGCCTATTTGAAGTATATGTAAAATTCCTAATTTACTGTCTTAAAGATCAGCTGATTGTAATGCTACTGTCTAGGTTTAGTTTGTTGTTTCTAGTTCAAGTGAAAGTTTTGTAATAAATAAATGTTTTATTTCTTTATTTATTGCACAAATATCACTATGTAACAAAGACTAAGAATTTTTGTAAGCAAAATCTATTGGAATATCATAACCCACTTCATGATTCAAAAGCAAAATAATTACTCGTGTCGAAAACCACAACAAATTTGAAACAGTTTCACGTGCAAACACACAGGGTGCGCAGTGAACACACCGATCATCGCTCCGATACCTTCAGTGGTTCTACGGGAGAGGGAAGTGACCGCCGGGTCTTGGAGGAGGTGATGTGTTCTACGGGAAAACTAAAGGTTCGTCTTTGTGAGTGTTTAGGTCTGCTGAGAGTGGGGGGCGGAGAAGGGAGAGGGAGGGGGAGGCCGCAACGTCGACACAACTTTGACGCAACCTGTACGTGGTGAGACCACAACGCCTTCATCTCAGCTACCTCGGCGTCTTCCTCCGCGAGCATTCCAAACTGGTCCACGACAACAAAGGTAAATAGTCGGAAAACACTACCAGTAAGCATTCGTATTCCAAAATGCAAACAAAACTCATGCAGCGTAAAAAGTTCCGAGCAACAGTGGGTGTTATTGTATTCAGTTGTGGCAGGTAATTCTTCATTGCCTAGTATTGATTTATGACATAATGAATAGGTTACTTACCTATTACCTTAATCTCAATCCTATTCTAGAGTCAGGCAAGGAGTTTCAGATTATTGTTATGTTTTCGAGCCTTCTTAAAATTAATTAAGCTCATTATCGTTGTCAATAAAAAAAAAAAAAATTAATACTATTAATAAATTACCAATTACCATAAACTTTTTGTTTGTGTGTGTTAAAATGTTTTTGTGTTTTAACAACGACAATGAGTTCAATTAATTTGAAGGGGAGGAAAACGCTTGAAAATGTACAATAAATGTTCCAAAACCAATCGCCAGAGATTAAATTGGATTGATGAGTTTAAGGTATGTAACCTATTTATTACATGAGCTGTAATGATTCCGCATTTAATGTTTTTTGTATTCAAATTGTAAATACAGCAAGGTGTTTAACGTAAGGTGCTATTTTTTTAATGACTGTAAACTGCATTATCTGTCTGCTGTTTGGAATATTGTAATTTATTTAAGAAAAATAATATGTACACTGTTGGGGAAATGCAAAAGACAAATACGGTATGTTTATTATAGGTACCTACTAAATTAAAATAGATCTTTGGCTGTTCATCAAGCTTTTGTTACATAATGAAAATGCAAAATCGAAATTACTTTTTTGTTTCTACCATGTGATTGAGACATATTTTATATCGATTTTTCTGTACTATATGTTGTATAATGTGGATATATTGAAAGAAAAGGAACAATTCCCATGCAATGAGAGCAAATTTACTAGCCATTCCTTGTCTAATGAAATGATTGCTATAATCCAGAGTAAATACTTTTTACTGATCAAGTCAGTGAAGCTACATAATTCCTAGGCAAGACCGATTTCAGCTTGGAATTGTATAAACATTATGCAATAAATAGTGACACAATTGAGCATACTGTCACTTACCTCCTTCTTAGATTTTAGTTCTTCTGAGTTAAAACTGTTAAGCAGCAAAGCCAAGAACAAGTTCAGGACCATGAAGTTTCCCATGACTAGAGCTGGCAGGAATATCGCAAAACAAGTCCCTGGACCCTGTAATCATTCACTGAAGAATTAGGGGCAATCGCTTATCATTCATTCTGATTGTTTTGAAAATTGAAATCGTATACAAGTTTTCAAATAATATTTATTGTTATTTTTCCAATTTAATTACAATACTATAATTGTCAGAAAATTCACAACATTTTAGAATAATGATAAATAGAGTTAACTAAAAAATATCAGACAATCTAATTTGATAGGTATGTATTTAACTAAAGTGGATTGTTCCTTTAACAGCTGAATATTAAATCATTTTGTTAAATAATCTATTTTGTAAAACAACCTAGCTTTATCAAAGAGATTTGGATTATTTTGGCTTGTCAAGTTGAATAAATTTACTGTATTAGTCTAGTAGTGTAGTACGATAAAAACAGCACTTGCACCAAAAGTAAGTTACCCTCTTAAACTAAGGATTTCATAACAAACACATATAGTACACTAACCTCAATTTTCTCAGCCCTCATACAATCCCACAGTGGTTCAATCCATTCTCCGCACAATATCCGAAAAATCATCATAAAGGAATGAAAGAAGTCAGAGAAATTCCATCTGTGAAAATACAGGACAGTTGAGTTCATGTTTTCGTATGACGTGGAAATTGACACTATATATAAATAATAACAATTTGTATTTTTGCAGAAAAATCTTGTAATAAAGCCTAATAAATTTTCAGTCTCAAGTATCATCAGTGGAGGGGTTTTCTGGATCTCATTTTGATTTGTGGAAGCACAGGATTAAAGATCCATTATTCCATTTCTTATCACTCCCTAAACACTGAATCCTAACTAAAATTACTATGCACTTTTTTTTACAAACACTAAATTAGACCTTAATTAAGAAATTTATTGCAGAAATTTTCAATCATGAACAAACTGACCAGAGGACCAATGCTTTCTCACATGAGGACAGGATCAGATTTCAGATCCCAAAACTTTATGAAATAGTTTCACAACTAACTATCTTTCATTGCTAGTACCAAAAAGTAGTGTTTCCTATTCTTTCAATGTTTTTATTATTCTTCGAGATTTATCTTAAACATGACTCACCTAGGGACAGGATCAGGAGCGAACCTCTCGGCCGTGTAGTCCTTGGAGAATAACTGCATTCCGATCACAGCAAAAATATAAATAACAATAACCAAGACGAACGTGAGGTTTCCCAGGGCTCCGATGGTAGAGATGATAATACTCAACAAAACCTTCATAGTAGTCCAGGACTGTGCAAGCTTCAGCACCCTTAACTGTGAACATCAGCTGGGTTAGAATATAAACTACCCACAACTATACACCATTTGGTTGACGGATAATGAGGTGATAAACAGTCAAGTAGTAACTACCATACACTCCCATTTGAACCAGAGCTAGAATAAACCATTTAATATAGGTTGCTTGTTTATTTTTTTCATATATCTTCAGAAAAATTGGCAAATTTTGATATTTCATAGTTGACTTTTCAGATTGAAAATACATCTTTGTATATTCGTTGAAGTAACAACCTTGAGGTTTGAAAGTTATTGCAGCTTTTGTGATTTTCTCCAAAAGATAGGTCTATAGATGATCCCACCACTCACGCACAATGAAGGTTGTTGACAAGCCAATGGGAGAGAGTATGTGTCAGATTGCTGATACAGTTTATTCAGTTTCAGGTGATGTGCAGGTTAACATTCACTTACCAGCCTGAGTCCTCGCAGCACCGAGAGTCCATCCACTAGTTCGAAAGAGAGATCCAGCAAACTAGCGGTGACGATGATGAGGTCGAAAATATTCCAACCACAAGCAAAGAACTCTTTACTCAAGGCCATAAGCTTGAGCGTACACTCCAGAGTGAAGATGGAGGTGAACACCTGCAAAAATACAGCGACAATAAATCATCTTTTAACTTTGATTACACTGCATCATGGATTGTTGTGACTAAATCAAAAATGGTGGTGAGTTTTTTTGTGATAGACTTCCTAGCCATGTCTATGCGCTGAGTAATTATACTAGGTTGCCACCGCTCGCACATACTTTTACTTTCCCTCCAGTATAAAGAACATATTGTTTTCGTCAAAACTGTTGAGTTTAAGTTTTGGGTGGAACTGACCTTATCTTGCAAGACCTCGCTCAGGAGATTCAATAGTTAAAACAAAATTCTAGACAAAACAGAAAAGCGTACACATCAGCTAAAGAGCTGCAAATGACGTGATTCTGTTCACATATGATGCTGCATGTAATCAGTGAGCTGGCTTGTTATGGTGTACATGTGAACCATGGAGGTGATTGCCCTTTGATAGATAATTAGTTGTTCAGTCTTCATAGTACAAATGAAGCAGGACATCGATTGCTAAGCTCCTTCGATTTATCTTTGTGAAGAGTGGACCTTCTTTTCCTACTATTTAGAAAAATTAACAGAGGCAGATTTTTTGTGAAGGTTCTTTCACAACTTGAATTATCCCAGATGGCTGAAAATGTTACTTTTTTTCACCATACATTTGAGTGTTTTCTTCAAACAAAATTAAGCCCACAGATGTCTACATACCTTGTTGCCGACGTCCAGCATGTTCCTGATGTTCTCACTCATGCCGTGGTGTTCCGTCGCCAAGAACATGGTGTTCAGGATGATACAGAGAGTGATCAACAGCTCAAACAGAGGATCTCGCACCACCTTGTACAGACAGTTCTGGAACCTGAGCCATCCCTCGTAGTCCACGCAGCACTCCACACACTTATCACAGTTACGGTCTACTAAGTCATCTGGAACATAAACACTCTCAGATGAGTTTGAGTGTTCAGGATGATACAGAGAGTAATCAACAGCTCAAACAGAGGATCTCGCACCACCTTGTACAGACAGTTCTGGAACCTGAGCCATCCCTCGTAGTCCACACAGCACTCCACACACTTATCACAGTTACGGTCTACTAAGTCATCTGGAACATAAACACTCTCAGATGAGTTTGAGTGTTCAGGATGATACAGAGAGTAATCAACAGCTCAAACAGAGGATCTCGCACCACCTTGTACAGACAGTTCTGGAACCTGAGCCATCCCTCGTAGTCCACGCAGCACTCCACACACTTATCACAGTTACGGTCTACTAAGTCATCTGGAACATAAACACTCTCAGATGAGTTTGAGTGTTCAGGATGATACAGAGAGTAATCAACAGCTCAAACAGAGGATCTCGCACCACCTTGTACAGACAGTTCTGGAACCTGAGCCATCCCTCGTAGTCCACGCAGCACTCCACACACTTATCACAGTTACGGTCTATTAAGTCATCTGGAACATAAACACTCCGTGATAAGTTTGGGTGTTCAGAATGATACAGAGAGTAATCAACAGCTCAAATAGAGGATCTCGCACCACCTTGTACAGACAGTTCTGGAACCTGCGCCATCCCTCGTAGTCCACGCAGCACTCCACACACTTATCACAGTTACGGTCTACTAAGTCATCTGGAAACACAAACACTCTGTGATGAGTTTGGGTGTTCAGGATGATACAGAGAGTGATCAACAGCTCAAACAGAGGATCTCGTACCACCTTGTACAGACAGTTCTGGAATCTGAGCCATCCCTCGTAGTCCACGCAGCACTCCACACACTTATCACAGTTACGGTCTACTAAGTCATCTGGAACATAAACACTCTCAGATGAGTTTGAATGTTCAGGATGATACAGAGAGTGATCAACAGCTCAAACAGAGGATCTCGCACCACCTTGTACAGACAGTTCTGGAACCTGAGCCATCCCTCGTAGTCCACGCAGCACTCCACACACTTATCACAGTTACGGTCTACTAAGTCATCTGGAACATAAACACTCTCAGATGAGTTTGAGTGTTCAGGATGATACAGAGAGTGATCAACAGCTCAAACAGAGGATCTCGCACCACCTTGTACAGACAGTTCTGGAACCTGAGCCATCCCTCGTAGTCCACGCAGCACTCCACACACTTATCACAGTTACGGTCTACTAAGTCATCTGGAACATAAACACTCTCAGATGAGTTTGAGTGTTCAGGATGATACAGAGAGTGATCAACAGCTCAAACAGAGGATCTCGCACCACCCTGTACAGACAGTTCTGGAACCTGAGCCATCCCTCGTAGTCCACGCAGCACTCCACACACTTATCACAGTTACGGTCTACTAAGTCATCTGGAACATAAACACTCTCAGATGAGTTTGAATGTTCAGGATGATACAGAGAGTGATCAACAGCTCAAACAGAGGATCTCGCACCACCTTGTACAGACAGTTCTGGAACCTGAGCCATCCCTCGTAGTCCACACAGCACTCCACACACTTATCACAGTTACGGTCTACTAAGTCATCTGGAAACACAAACACTCTGTGATGAGTTTGGGTGTTCAGGATGATACAGAGAGTAATCAACAGCTCAAACAGAGGATCTCGCACCACCTTGTACAGACAGTTCTGGAACCTGAGCCATCCCTCGTAGTCCACACAGCACTCCACACACTTATCACAGTTATGGTCTACTAAGTCATCTGGAAACACAAACACTCTGTGATGAGTTTGGGTGTTCAGGATGATACAGAGAGTGATCAACAGCTCAAACAGAGGATCTCGCACCACCTTGTACAGACAGTTCTGGAACCTGAGCCATCCCTCGTAGTCCACACAGCACTCCACACACTTATCACAGTTATGGTCTACTAAGTCATCTGGAAACACAAACACTCTGAGATGAGTTTTGTGTTCAGGATGATACACACAGAGTAATCAACAGCTCAAACAGAGGATCTCGTACCACCTTGTACAGACAGTTCTGGAACCTGAGCCATCCCTCGTAGTCCACACAGCACTCCACACACTTATCACAGTTATGGTCTACTAAGTCATCTGGAAACACAAACACTCTGTGATGAGTTTGGGTGTTCAGGATGATACAGAGAGTGATCAACAGCTCAAACAGAGGATCTCGCACCACCTTGTACAGACAGTTCTGGAACCTGAGCCATCCCTCGTAGTTCACACAGCACTCCACACACTTATCACAGTTATGGTCTACTAAGTCATCTGGAAACATAAACACTCCGTGATAAGTTTGGGTGTTCAGGATGATACAGAGAGTGATCAACAGCTCAAACAGAGGATCTCGCACCACCTTGTACAGACAGTTCTGGAACCTGAGCCATCCCTCGTAGTCCACACAGCACTCCACACACTTATCACAGTTACGGTCTACTAAGTCATCTGGAAACATAAACACTCCGTGATAAGTTTGGGTGTTCAGGATGATACAGAGAGTGATCAACAGCTCAAACAGAGGATCTTGTACCACCTTGTACAGACAGTTCTGGAATCTGAGCCATCCCTCGTAGTCCACGCAGCACTCCACACACTTATCACAGTTACGGTCTACTAAGTCATCTGGAACACAAACACTCTGTGATAAGTTTGGAGGTTCTACTGGACTTTTTTGATCACAATTGCCTTTAACCAAACCTGGTTTGTGATGTGTTGTAAATACAGGTATAGGTTGAATAAGTCAGTGGTTATTAGGATGATCAAATAATACAAGCCAATATTTGACAGAAATCAGTAATTTACATCAGCGCAATCTATCGGTCGCTCACTTCAATTATGTACATTTCGATTTTAAAACTAGCGACAACTTTACGATGAAATGACTAGTTCTATTAATAGTCAATGGTACAAGAAACTACTTCTGGAGCTACTTATACTACATATTTGAAAACTTCACATAAACTTATACTTACCTAATACTACAACTTGAGACATATAGTCTGCTGAAGGCAACGTGTACACAGGAGGTTTTTGCAGATGGAGAGGACTGACTCCGTTACATTTGATCACCTTCACCTCCTTCTCCCTTCCGTGACTCTTCAGTGACTCGACTTTCTGCAACATATTTCTGCTGAACAATACTTGAGGATATACAAGATACCTAGATAGATAGATTAGCTGTACTAGTATTTTAATTTAAATAAACAGCACAGAGTGAAATAAACAGGTTTAGTTACCTACTGGTGTAAATTTTTATTTTTATTTTTGCAATTAGGGCCTACTGTGGTTTTAAGCTTTTGACTCATTGTCTAAGGCTGGATTTTTTTACTATTTGGTCAGCCAAAAGTGTTTTAAAGGTTCCATGAGCATAAATGTTTCTTGTATATTACGTGGTTATTTTAGGAGGATGAAGACACATTAACAGAAAATGCAGAATAAGATTCAACCACAAGAAAACCTACAACAAAAATTACAAAAAAAATTGAATAAATCTTAAAATTAAGCTGTACAAAAAGCTGACCTGGAGAGGTAGGTTGGTCTGGTCCTCCGATGTTCCGTCAGCCTCCTCGTGATCGTCCACAACTCCTGAATCGTCCAAGGAAGACTCTCGGTTGTTGCCGTCGCTGTTGTTGCTGCTGCCCTGACGACTGCTCAGCTGTCCTCTGTTGATGCGCCCTGCAAACAACACAACAATTTACTATCAGAGATGAGTCAAACTAGTAAATGGGTAAATATTTTAACTATGCCTTTTAGAGGAAACACTGTGGAAAGGGTTATTTTATGTCAAGTCAGATAAACTTGTTTCCAGTAGAGTACTAAAATACATTGTCTTTGATATCTTCGTCTTTTCAATAACTTAAATTCATTCTTTTTGTCAAAAAATGTCACTTCACCAAGCAATAATGTGATAGCTAGAATTTTGGTTCTTGGCTCTATTTTGAAGGTACCGGTACTTATAATAATAAGCTATCCTTTCCTTTTAGAAAACTTTAACTCCCTCTTTCAACTTAAAATTTCCCACCTTTGAAACAGTACTGATAAACAATTCTCTATAGTGTGGTTCTACTCTTAAAAATCATAAAACCCACTAAAACGTGCTGTGCTGCTATAAGAATTATCTAAAGGAGTCAGGATGAATTAAAAATTCTTCAATACTGTAAATACGGAAGGTACAAAAGTGTCCTGCCCGGTTAACCACGGGAAAGACATAGATGTCCAATATTTAATGGTCGATACTAAACTAGATTATTTTGTTATTTAGTTATTGTACTATGCAGTCAAAGTTTATTTTGATATGAGATGAAAGAGCTGGGCTAGTAGTAGAGCCAAACTTGAGTTGGGTTTAAAAAAATACTATCAATAACAAATGGTTTAAACTATGTGATAGTGTCTCTAGGCCTAGCCTAATGCTTCTTAGACCCTAGCATCATTGACTATATAACACTACGTAGTGTTATATAGTCAATGCTAGCATCCTAGAATGAGTAAAGAGAATGCTAAGCTCCATGATGATCTGCTATCTACTTGATAGGTTATCCACTTAGCTATTGTAAGTACCCGGATGCAGAGTATCGGGGTTCGGGACGACCGGAGGCGGCAGAGGTGGCGGGGGCGGAGGTGAGGCGACCGGTTCCGCAAAGCTGTGTCTCGGACTCGGAGACACACTGCGGCTGCCCGCAGCTGAGTGCTCGTTTCCGTTGCCCGACACAGCTCCTCGCCTCTTCCGTCGACGAGTCTTCTTTCGAGTGTACGAGGACAGTAGCACCCCCTTTCTAGAGTCTATCCGCTTTCTGTTGCTCTTCTCCAGAGTCTTGACGGGGATGTTGCTCGGGTCGAAGCTGAACGTCGAGTCGTCCCGGTGGTCCGTCAAGTCTTTCCTTCTTTCCTGAATATTCCAAATAAATAAATTTACTAATAATGTATCCATCAGAACACCTTAAATGCTTTAAGTTGAAAGCACAGATAAAATCACCAGCTATCAACCAGAGGTTCTATTAAACAAATTTACATTAGACTAAGAAGGTTGACCTGGGGTTGGATCCTTTCCTTACAAAAAAACTTTAAAAATGTCAATGAAGTAGAAACTTAGAGACAGACAATAAAAATATTAATAAACAATAAATAGCTTTCTTCATAAATATGCTTCCACAGTCACACACTGTTGATTCATGGTCTTTAAGCAACACTCGTGTGAAAATAGATGAAACGCTTATATTTACAAAGTTTGCAAAGTTGTGTCCTAGATGTAGTTCTATTTTCAGTGTATGACTGTGGATCTCTACAGCTGGATAGTGCACTCTTTGTTAGAAGTTTCTGTCCAACCGGAATGGTCACTATCTTACACATTGCCTCTTACCATGTTCACGTACACGAAAGACGCTATACTTTGTCCATAAGTTTTCAATTAATTTACACTGATTTTTACAATTCTTATAGTTATAATAAAATTAGAATTGTTCTCAATTGTTTTAATTACTGAAAAAAATCAAGCTTAGAAACAATTAAACATTGTACGGTTCAACCTTTGTGGAAATTAGACCGTTCGAACTAAATCACAGAAAAAATCAATTCTTTTTTAAATGTAACATTTTCATCATTGTTTTATTCTAGAAAACTTACAAAAAGTAAACATAAATCAACTGTCAAAATTATACAATTAAAATACAGCTGATGTTCAGATTTATAAAATATTAAGCATAAGTCCAGTCAAATATAAGCGTTGATCATAACTTCATCAGTCATTTTCACATCCTCCCACCTTGAGGAATGTAAGGTAACTTGTTCCTCAACACAAGGTTTTTATTGGAGAAACCGTTTTGGTTGTTTAACCATCCGTCCACTTCTAGTCACAGTTTTCTTATCTATCACTTTATTATCCTGCTTCGTTTTGTTCTTAATTTTTTCATTTTTCAGGAACTCTTCTTTCTCACAATTTTGTATTTCAAGAGGGTAAATTTTTTGGATAGTTCGCAAAATTATTCCTGAATTCGTCTTGAGTTTTGCTAGACGAATTTTACCATCTCTACCCGGTATGAGTTCTTTTACAACTGCCAAAGGCCAATTTAGACGTCTTTTGTCGTCCGTCTCCACAATGACAACTTCTCCAACTTGTATGTCCCTTGTTGACCTTTTCGACTTCATCATTAGTGCTCCCAAATACTCGCTCCTAAATCTCTTTCTCAGATCTTCTTTTAACTTTTGGCAGTACCGGACCCTGCGGTTCAACTCTCCGTGATTAATTTTGTCCACATCAGGTGTTCCAGTTTCTTTAATGTCAGTCAAGAACATTGCTGGAGTCAAAGGTATTAAGTCATTTACTTCGTTAGAGATGTATGTGAGGGGACGTGCATTTAAAACTGATTCACAGTCACAAAGGATAGTCTGGAATTCTTCATAAGTCAAACTTGAGTTGCCCAAACATTTTCGAAGAAGTTGCTTCATCATCCCTATCAATCTCTCCCACCAGCCACCCCACCAAGGTGATGAAGGGGGATTGAATTTCCATTTAATTTGCTGGACCGAACTGTACTCCTGGATTTTATCCCAGTCAACTTGTGTAAAGGCATTGTTTGCGCCAACAAAGTTGGTCGCATTGTCGCTGTATACAATTGAGGGTCTGCCTCTTCTAGCTATGAATCTTCTCAAAGCCTGTAGAAATGCATTAGTTGACAAACTTGAAACTAGTTCTAAATGAACTGCGCGATAAACAGCACAGGTAAACAGACATATCCAAGCCTTCTGACCATCTCGCAAATATATTGGTCCTGCAAAATCGACACCACTAATTTGAAATACTGCAGCATCTTTTACTCTGTCTTCTGGAAGACCAATGGGCCCAGTTTGTAGACTTTTCCCTTTGTATCTTAGACACTTCACACAAGACGATACTACAGATTTTACTGTTTTTCGCCCACTTAATATCCAATAGTCTTCACGCAAAATGCTTAATAAATACTGAACTCCTGCGTGACAAACCTTGATATGCTTAGAGCGTATTAAAATTTGCACAACAGGATGTTTCGATGGTAGTACTATTGGTGTCCTGAAGTTTTCGTGGTCTTTTCTGTCAGTAAGCTTCGACTTTACACGAATCAAACCATTTTTATCTTCAAAAGGACATAAAGTTGCAAGTTTAGCATCTTTCAGCCCACAAAAACTCTCTTTCTGGACTAGTTTCCAAACATTGGCTTCAGCTTTTTCTATTTCTTCCAGGGTTAAGGAACCATTTACTTTTTCACTTCTACGGCAATTATTATAAAATCTATTTATCCATGCTACCATACGCACGATCTTTTCAAAATTGCTGAAGTATTTATAATACCAGCCTGACTTAGTTTCTTCAGCATTCGTACAAACTGATACGATTCCTTTCTTCTTTTCACTGTGGATTTCTTCGTCGTTGTAAATCATTTTAACTTTTGGCCATTCTTCTGGAGGCTGTCTTAGCCACTGAGGGCCCTCCCACCATTTACAATCAACTAGACCCTTAGCCGAGCATCCTCTACTAGCTACATCAGCGGGGTTTAGGTTTCCAGGTACATACCTCCAAGAGTCTTTACAAGATAATGACCTTATTTCTTGACATCTATTCCAAACAAAAGTAGCCCAATTGTCTTCTCGTTGAATCCAAGATATGACTGTGGTTGAATCGCTCCAAAAATGTGTTTCTAAATCAGAGATATTAAGGCTATCGAAGATTGACCTTCCAATTCTGGCTCCAATTGTGGCTGCTAATAGTTCCAGTCGAGGGATTGATAGGTCTTTCACTGGTGCTACTCGTGACTTTGCTGCTACGAAATGAAGATTGACTGATCCATTGACCTCAGTCCTTAGAAATGCGACAGTAGCATATGCGAATTTACTAGCGTCACAAAATATATGCAAACTAAAAGTACCATCCTCTCCAGCGAAAAAACGAGGGATGTTAATCTCACTTAAATATCCCAGATCTCTGAACCATTTCAGAAAGTCACATCTTATGTCATCTGAAACCTCTTGATCCCATTTGAATTTCATGGACCAAGTCCTTTGCAATAGAATCTTAGGGAGCAGTGTTACTGGGGAAGAAATCCCAACAACATCATAAACTTTGTGAGTAATAGAAAGCATTTTACGCTTTGTAACTACTTGCAAGTCAACTGATTTGAGAAAATCAACATTAAGTTTAAGCACGTCAGTTCTCTTGTCCCACAGCATACCTAATACACCAACAGGTTGAGTAGTGGGTGAGAGAGTTTTGTCAGTAAACTCCCACCCTCTAAGCTCAAATTTCCCGTCTAAAAATAAACTAGTTGCTTGGGAAATGAAATCATTCAGTTCACTTTCAGAGCTCACACTTGTTACACAATTGTCGACATAGAAACTATACATGAGCTGTTTGACATAAGGCTTGGAATATCCATTTCCCCTTATAGCAAAACTTAAATGATAGTTAATGGTAGCTGCCAGTAAAAATGGACTGCAGGTCACACCAAAAACTACTCTTTTGTGTCTATAAATTTTGAGGTTTCCATCATCATCATACCACAAAAATCTTAGGAAATCTCTATCGGACTTAGACAAACTGATTTGCAAAAAAGCTTTCTTAATGTCAGAAATGACACCTATTTCTTTTAATCTGAAGCGAAACAGAATGGAAGGAATTAATTCAATCAAATTAGATCCCTTACTGAGACAGTCATTCAATGAAGGTTGATTATACTCCTTAGCGGATGCATCAAAGACAGGTCTTACCTTTGTTGTACTGTTTTCCTTGTAGACGGGCCGATGAGGCAAATAATGTCCCAACTTACCAAAGTCAGCGGTGTATGGGACTTCTTCAATTATACCTTCTTGTTCCCATTCTTTGAACGTGGCATCATAAACATCATATGTTTTCTTTTCCTGGAGTTTTTTCACTGTTGATTCAAGTCTCTTGACCGCTATGTTGACATTGGTCGGCAAGGGTGGATGCCCTTCTCTCCAAAGTAAAGGCACCTCATAACGTCCGTCATCATTGATCTGAACAGATTTGTTGAAAAACTCTGTAGCTTCAACTTCTTCTTCAATCTTGTTCTTCCTTGAATTCGGATCTTCAATTCCAATGACATCCAATTCCCATAGCTGTGAGATTGGTTTGTCCTTCAGCAACATTGTATGAGTAGTCATGACGTTAGGGGAGTCTGTAGATACCACTGCTGTAGATGGAGTCTTTCCTAACAAGGTCCATCCTAACAAGGTTCTTACTGCAACGAGACCTGAACTCAAAATTATTCGCTCATCCATTAAAAGTTTTCCAGCGACATCTGCACCAATCAAAATATCAATTGGCCCTGAATGAGTATCAGAAATTGTTACCCCTAACTCCTGTAACTCCTTCATCCAATTCCCCAGTCCCGCAACTGGTAAAGCATTGCATATTTTTATTTTATCTAGAACTTCAAAATTGCAAGCGTAGTTGGTCTCTGGGTTACTAAGTCTGACTCTATAACAAGTGTGTTCTTCAACTTCACTACTAACCCCACCGAACAGTGAATGTTGTAGCCTCTCTTTTCGAATGGCTTTATACTTCATTTCTTTTGCAAGATTCTGAGATATATAGGATCGCTGCGATCCTGTGTCAATTAGCGCTCGCACGAACTTAACCTTATCATCGCTTTTGATGCATACACTTAGCGTTTGCAATAAGACCTCTGATCTCGTATTAGCAGACAATGAATTTTCAACTTGGGCTTCAGAGACTTTATTGCCACTGTCATCTTGCTTAGGCCTAACTCCCTGCCTACACATTAAAGGGACATGTCTTCCACCGCAAATGTTGCATTGCAATTTGGCTTTGCAATATTTGGCTAGATGTTTTGGTTTCAAACATAAATAGCAAAATCCCCTTTTCTTAAGAATATTTGACTTTTCATCATAGGAGAGTTTTCTAGCACTAAAGCAATTCTCACTACCGTGCGAACCTTCACAAAATACACATTTCAGAGTTGATTTAGACGGTACATCAACTAAGTCTGAAGCGGATGGAATTCTAGAGTCATTAGTACTAGGCGAATTTAAGGTTGGCCTTCCTACTGATTTACCCGTACTTTGTGTCGAATTTGATTTATTCCTAATAGAACCACTCCTATGCTGACTTACCGACTGACAAGATTCAAAGCCATCCATAGCTAGTCTTATTCTTTCTTCTGATTCAACTTCACCTTTTAGAAAGAGAACAAGGGATTCTAACTTTGTTTTATGATCTATAGGTTTATCCCCTGAACTACAAAGTGATCTTTGCCATGCCCTAAGACGTTCCTCAGAGAGACATGACTCAACTAAGGGGTACAGTAAGGCTGCACACTTTTCAGTAGTTACCCCCAGAGTATCTAAAGCTCTAAGTTGAGTTTCAATCCTATCATACAAAGTTGAAATAGGAATCTTATCAATAGAGTTCTGAAAAGTTATTTTCAAAAGTTCCCTAACATAGATTTCCGTTTGTAAGTCTTCTCTCCCAAACCTGGACTTCAGACATTCAATTACTTTGGGGTAATTGTCAACTATAGGGGGGAAACTAGTGACTATTTCCCTAGCCCTAGATTTGGGTTCAGTAGCTTGAATAAGATATTGAAATTTATCTTCATCTTTAAGTTCAGAGTCTAAATGAATCTTTTGGAATTGGCTCCAAAAGTGTAGCCAATTTTTCAAATTTCCATCAAATTTAACAAACTCGATTTTAGGAAGTTTTATTCTAGCTTTTGAGGTATTCGGTTTACTTGAACATGATTTACTACAACTTGAAGCTACATCCTCATTAGATTTCAAAGTCAAACTGTCAAATTTAGCTTTTATCAGAAAGAACTTATTTAAATACTCATCCGATCCGCTGAGTTCTTCGGTGAGTTGCTCCTCCGGACAGTCTGATTCGAGAAGTTTTTCCAGTAGCTTATCATTGAGTTCATTAAGTTGGTCGTTCTTTTTCTCTAATAGTTTCATACTTGCTTCGATTTCAGGGTAATCATGGTCGTTGGAATTCAATCTGTCCAAGATACTTTGCGAAAGAGTTGTAAACGATCTCCGAATTACCGTTCTCTGTTTCTTAAGTCGATTTATTTCGATAATTTCTGATCCTGTCACGGTCGCCATGTTTTACAATTCTTATAGTTATAATAAAATTAGAATTGTTCTCAATTGTTTTAATTACTGAAAAAAATCAAGCTTAGAAACAATTAAACATTGTACGGTTCAACCTTTGTGGAAATTAGACCGTTCGAACTAAATCACAGAAAAAATCAATTCTTTTTTAAATGTAACATTTTCATCATTGTTTTATTCTAGAAAACTTACAAAAAGTAAACATAAATCAACTGTCAAAATTATACAATTAAAATACAGCTGATGTTCAGATTTATAAAATATTAAGCATAAGTCCAGTCAAATATAAGCGTTGATCATAACTTCATCAGTCATTTTCACACTGATGTAATATACGTGATAAAGCAGAGATTATTTAATAGATTTTATATATAAGTAATTTGGTTGTAAGCTACATTCGATATATATCAAACTAAACCAAAATGTATTTTATGTAAAATTAGCCGTTAAACAAAGGTTAACTGTTGAAATTAGTACAACGGTGAAACTTGTATTTGAATCAAGCAATAAAAGATCTATAATTTTTATCAATGAAAACACGGTAGCCCCATATGAAGTGTATAGCTGATGGTTTACCGACAAGTGGTTGAACTCATACAAGCCTAGTTCTGAGTATTACAGCATGTGATTCAGTTGTAGTATAGAGAGTGATGGATGTGGCTTGACTTCCCTACAGATGACTATCAAATCGAATGATACAGCAATTGTACGGAAGTCAAGTCACCCTGAAAATTCCACCCTACATCGGTACATGAGGTCATCTTGTGAGGTCAGGTCATCATGAGGTCAATATGTGACTATGTCTATTGCAAGATTGTTTTGCTTAAGGACAATAAAGGATTTCTGATTTCTGATTTCTGATCTAGTTTGACACTTTTGTCGCTTGAGGACCATGAATCAACAATAAATATTAATAAATATAGATATACAATACTAGGGTACATAGTATTATGACAACAAAATGCTATTCAGAATTAAATCTCCCACAAATATTTATAAAGAAGTTTTTTTACAATTATTTTAAAGGAATGAGAAGGTGTCCATGAATTGAAACCCCTTTAGGTACACTTTTCCCCACCGGTTTTATAATGCAATTAGACAACAAAATGTTGAAACAATTTAAATCCCATGTAGGCCCTACTCCTTTCTCAATCAAGAGACAAAAAAAAATGTTCTACTTAAAAAAAATTAGTCCATTACATACCTCTTGCGTTATTTCTGCTTCCTCTTCGTAACTTAAAGCTACCACAGCCAACATTAAATTTATCAAATAAAAAGAACCAAAGAAAACAACAACAGTGAAAAATACGACACTAAGCGGTCCACATGACGCCAGGACCTGCAACAAACCAGAAGAAATAACTAGAAAATGTTTGTTTGAAATGTTATTCTAATTATATGAGTTACACTAGGTCAACAATAGGACATTAGCATACTATCCTCTGGTTAGTCAACATGGATTTTAAAACGAACTGGAATATGAAAAGGCTAATGGGAAAGTACAGTTCACAAACACCAACTAGATTTCCAGAGTTTCCGTTCAATGGATTTCATATCAGCTAACCACTATTGAAACGGAATGATTTATAGCGTTTGTTAGTGAAACAGTGAAATTCCTCTCTGAAAGCTGAAGTTATAGTAACTTAATGCTGTACTTCACCTAATTCTACTATTATGCAACATCATTTTACCACATAAAAAAAATTATCTGTTTAACTAAATGGTATTTGTCTTCAAGGTCTAAACAAAGATCATTAATGTGTCCGTATTGTAGCTTTTGTATTGACATCTAATTTTCGTATTAATCTTACCAATATGTCTTTAGAATCAAACAGTACATGTTGAGCCCTCATACTTTTTTATATTTCTATTTAAGTGTACCTTTAAAATAAATTGGTACACAAAACATTATTGTTTGCTTATTTTTTTATAAATTGTATGATTTTATAAAAACTGCATCCAGTTAAAAAAACCAAAAGATAAATACTATTACTGTGTATATTTCGTGGCTTTAGGTTAGACATTTTCACAGCGTAAACTTCTTATGTTACCCTATAGTGTAACCAGATAAGTACTTCAAGGAAAACATTTATCTTACCTAATCCTAAAATATTACATACGCAGACACCAACAGGTTTGGAGTTTTGATCATACAAAAATAACAATCAGCTCGGAAACCCAGCACCATAGACAAAAAGAATTAAATATACCGTCAGCCAGCGGTTACCAAAGGTTCTGGCGCGCACCACTGGGAACGCAATGTAGTTACGGTGTACGCGCTATGTAACTCCCAGCTGTGTGCGCCAGAATCTATGGTAACCATGGTAACCGCAGCACGGCTATATTTAATTCTTTTTGTCTATGCCAGCACTTAAGTTAACTGAAAAAATTAAACCTAACAAAGGAAAAGATGGTTCTTACCATGTTGTAAACATTCTCCCAATAGTCCAGCGTGATCAGCTGGAAGGTGGTGAGCATGGACCACAGGAAGTTATCAAAGTTGGTATACCCGTGGTTCGGGTTCTCCCCCACTCGTATGCAGGTGTAGTTGAACGGACAATGTCTACAAAAAATGCAACACTTGTGAAGTTTATGTTGATTGTTTTAACTTACTAGGTAAGTTAAATCCTGTGAAAAATCTAACACAGTGGAGTTTTCAAAATCTGTGGAATTTTTATGTCCAAAGTTAATTTTACTCTGGTATTAATTTGACATGTTACAGCAACAGTATCGAGGGTATATTTATCTCTAAGATTGTGTGAACATTACAAATTTTTTTTACCTGTTGGAAATAGCCTCGGATTGTTTTATCGTAAATCACTGCTATTTGTGTTACGAGTAATATTTTGTATACAAATTATATAGGTTATATTTCATCAGTTTTTTCATTTACGTTTCGAGATTTGTTTATTGGTCCTAACAAAACAATTGATAAACAAAGGTTGGTTCTATAAGCGTACGGTATATTATAGTAAGTGTATAAAAATAGTAATATGAAATTCTAAAGGTACACAAAGTTATTGAAACCGTGTTAGTCAACAAATGAATAAACTTCCTTCTCAACACTAAATATAAGCCATGGTACAAAATCATGTCAATCAAAGACTGGCCAATCCTCTTTGGAAGTACAAAGTACAACTAAGGGGCAATCAATGATGTTATTCATGATTCGAGGTTACCTACCAAATTTAAACACTGCTGAAGATACTGTGTAATTCCGCTTTTCAACCTCCAACAACCAAATATTGTTATGACAAAAATTGACAAAGTTCACTGTTCATAGATACCTAATAGGCTTTATTCTGGATATAGATTTTAACCGATAACAGGCAAAATTGTTTGTTTTTTTTTTACTAGAAGTGATTTATACTGTACCTATGTGTTTTGGAGTCGAAAATTGACCTTCTTACACTAAATAATTGCACTATCCTCAGTCTCAGTCATACATAACCTCAATGGTTGGGGTTGGGGTTGGATATTAAACAATATTGACACAAAACAACAACAAACCATTGAGTTAGAGGTTAGAGAGAACTTGTAAGATAAGAACAAATAATTAAAATTGTGTCAAATTATCTCGAAAAACAAACACCCTACAAAGTACAAAGCCGAGCTTTAGAGGTTAGCTAGCCAACAAAACAAAACAAATTGTTGTTTGACAACAGAAACAGCTGATCAGAAAGTATGTTTGCCCCAAACGCCTTGTTTTTGCCCTACTAAACATTCATACCCATGCAAACATGGAGTGACTGATATTGGAGTTAGCAGTAGCACTGAATGAGAGAACTACGAGACGTTTGCCGCCATTTGTAATTTGTTTTGTACTACTACTAGGGCATAATGGTATATTGTAGTTAGCATAGCCTTCTCTTGAACACAAATAAATAACAATGCTTTAAAGCCATGAGCTGATTCCGCTGTTTGGTGCCAACCTAACAAAATTACAGCGTCACAATTTTCTTAGCAGAATTGCCGTGCATAGACAAACGTGTTAGCCTACCTCCTGTTGTGTTTCTAGCTTGGTGGTTGAATGAAAATGAAAAAAAAACATGCAGTGCTGCCAACCAATCGGTGTTACCAACCTTGCTCCTGTAACATTCCCACAGATAACCGGTTCTCCCAACTCATCGTCTAGCAACCAGTTCTCTTCATCCGTCACCCACCTGAAACAATACATACAACGAAAATTAGTAATTAATTATGTTACAGTTAAACACTGTCAAAATAGTTTTAAGCGCCCGTCAAGGTAAACAAATTACCACCAACGTAGCAATCCTGTTAAATGTATTCACTTGAATAACTTTATAGAGAGTACTTAGGTTTGCTGCTACGGGAAAGAAAAAAATTGTTTGGGTATAATCTTAATAGTATAGTATAAAATAAATAAATTCGCCAAAGTTGATCAAAATATTTCCATATACAAGCGAACTACAACAGATTACTTTTCTCCATGAGAATGACATGAGAATTTTAAATGTGTAGTTAATTTTTTGGTATTTGTTCCGTAATCCTACGGTAAAGGTAAAAACTAAATTCCTTCGAGCTCTCAGAATGGTATGGAAAGAAACTGCAAAATTGTATAAAATTTGTATATTGTATATTAATACGTAGGGCCTATTAGTACGGTGGAGTAATCCCACACTTTATCATGTACTTTATTATCCCTCAAATCGGCCAATCCGTGCAATCAACAATTTATTTTCAATTCAATTCAGAGCCTCTAAACCTTTGCTTCTAGATTTTACTTGATTTTATTCGAACTATTTGTATGTACATTTTACGCTTAAAGCATTTTTTAACACTACTCCAAAAATAGTATAGAGTAGGCCCTATCTCTATCCCTACAGATATGTAAACAATTAAGGTAAACAATATACAAGCAAGAGGTAAGATATGTTTAACACTTTTAAATCAATTACAAAAGGCACTAACTTCATATATTTTTAGACATAAAATAAATAGGTTTACCTATCTAGATCTGATAATTTCAAACTTAAGATAAATAAATCTTTGAAGTAAAGGAAAAGATTTTCAATTAAGTGCGGTGAAATGTGAGCTCCATCCTCTTTCACTGAAAAGACTACGTTTTTCTCGTCTGTGCGACACATTGATGCATCACCAACTGGTTTCTTGAATTTTTTATATTTTAATTCCAAACTTATTTAAACTTTACATTTTGACTTTTTTTTGTGGGGTTTTATCATAAACTTGTTTTGTGAGTTATTTTCTATTAGAGTGTTTTATTGATTGTTAATAATCTTATCCATAGTTTTGTGTGGCAAAATTGAATGCAGATATAATTTTACATAATGGTTTCTTACAAAATAATTTTTAAAAACTAATTATTCAAACGTGTGTTGATATGAGAGAGTAAACGGAAAGGTTAAAGGTTTTATAAAAGGATTCTGCACATAGGAAAATATATTTCATTTGGTACAATCCGCGTGTAATTCGGTCCAGTAGTATGGTCAGGCTAGCTGTCATTAGTTTTGCAAATGTTTTTTTAGTATATAAGAAAGGGAAATTCGCTAAAAAGCTCCATTTTAATCAGTCAATAATTTTATAGCAAAAAGAACAATAATTAATTACATACCGTAAAAAAAATTGAAAATGAAAGGTCTCCCACATCAGCAAAGACTGGGCATGGGAAATGATGGAGAGCGAGTTAACAATGATTAATTGAAATAATCTTCGAAGTTTAATATTTTAATTTATTGCTAAAATAAATATTAACTGTCTGTATTATGATTAACGTTATGGTATATTCAGATTCCTCTGGTTAATTTCAAGTAGGCTACATAAATGTTTGCTTACGTTTCTTCAAAAATGGTCGAAATCAACATCCAACATTCGTTTGGTTTAATGCAAATTTTACTTTAAATTAATTATTAGTTTACGATAAAATATATGGAATTTTGTATAATATTTCCATCCGTTTAAGTGAACTTCACGATTCACATACAAAAGTACGGGTATATTCTTTCATTAATTTAACAGTTTTTAACGTACACCACCAATTTTGTCACAAGGGTTATGGTAAATATCCAAGAAACCCTTCGCAAACATGTTTAATAAAGTGAAGGTTTTGTAACGTTATTTTACAAGACTACATGATAAAAACAAAATTTTCCCCACATGCCGGGTAAACTTCAGTTACCCCCTCTGGTCCCGGGGGTGAAGATAATGTGACTATACCAAGAGAGGGTAACATTTGGGCCTATCTGCTACAATCGACTGGTAAGTAAACTTTCTCCTTTTTCGTGATATAAAAAACATGTCAGTGACCGAATTGATCTTTCAACGATCATTATATTAATTTGTCGTATTTACAGATTTCTCCTCATTTGGGGTCTTAAAAAAAACAAAAAAAGAACTTAAGAGGAGGTTGCATGTTAGTTATCTTATTTTAGTTCCCAAAAAGTTTACGATAAATGGTTAAAATATTATAAAGGAATATTAGGAATCTTATATATTAAAAAAATTTGGTTTTTCTTTTCCGAGTTCGTTTGGCTCTTCTACCCGACCGATTTTCATGATTGAGGTCTCAAATTGAAGGTATGCACGCTCAGATTTGCCATCAAGCATCGGCATATATTTATCTATAATCCTACTCGGCTTATACGTAAAAGAAATTTGCTCCCCATGTTATTCTTATGGGAGTTAAATTTGGTTTATCTTTGCCGAGTTCGATTGGCTCTTCTACCCGACCGATTTTCATGATTGAGGTCTCAAATTGAAGGTATGCACGCACAGATTTGCCATCAAGCATCGGAATATAGTTATCTATAATTCCACGCGATTTCTACGTAAAAGAAATTTGCTCCCCATGTTATTCTTATGGGTGTTAAATTTGGTTTATCTTTGCCGAGTTCGATTGGCTCTTCTACCCGACCGATTTTCATGATTGAGGTCTCAAATTGAAAGTATGCACGCACAGATTTGCCATCAAGCATCGGGATATATTTATCTATAATACTACTCGGGCTTATAAGTAAAAGAAATTTGCTCCCCATGTTATTCTTATGGGAGTTAAATTTGGTTTATCTTTGCCGAGTTAGATTGGCTCTTCTACCCGACCGATTTTCATGATTGAGGTCTCAAATTGAAGTTATGCACGCACAGATTTGCCATCAAGCATTGGCATAAATGTATCTATAATCCCACGCGGATTATACGTAAACGAAATTTGTTCCCCATGTATTTCTTATGGGAGTTAAATTTGGGGTTTCTTTGCCGAGTTCGTTTGGCTCTTCTACCCGACCGATTTTCATGATTGAGGTCTCGAATTGATGGTATGCACGTACAGATTTGCCATCAAGCATCGGCATCAATGTATCTATAATTCCACGCGATTTCTACGTAAACGAAATTTGCTCCCCATGTATTTCTTATGGGAGTTAAATTTGGGGTTTCTTTGCCGAGTTCGTTTGGCTCTTCTACCCGACCGATTTTCATGATTGAGGTCTCGAATTGAAGGTATGCACGCACAGATTTTCCATCAAGCATCGGCAAATATTTATCTATAACCCCACTTGGTTTATACGTAAAAGAAATTTCCTCTCCATGTATTTCTTATAGAAGTTAAATTTTGTTTCTCTTTTCCGAGTTCGTTTGGCTCTTCTAACCGACCGATTTTCAAGATTGAGGTCTCAAATTGAGGGTATGTACGCACAGATGTCCCATCAAGCATTGGAATATATGTAGCTACAGTCCAAACCCGGATTATACGTAAAATAAATTTGCTCTATTGGTAGTTAAATTTAGTTTTTCATTTCCCAGTTCGTTTGGCTCTTCTACTCGACCAATTTTCATGGTTGAATTTTCAAATTGAAGTTATGCATGTCCAGATTTCACAACAAGCATCGGTTTAAGATACAATATACAAAATAAAAAAAAAAAAAAAAATACAAGGTTAAACCCGTCGAAATCAACAGGTACTGTTGAGGTAATTCTATTTTGGAACCATTTGGTTTGTTTGTGATTGATTCAGCACTCTGCCAATCTTAATTATCATAATTAATTACACAAATGATGCCGGAATTTTACCGAAGGTTCTTATATGAAAATAAATAGGATAACGTAATTAGAATAATTGAGTATAGATATCAGCTTTCGTTTTTTCGTTTCGTTTAGTTTTTTGTTTTGTTTTTGTCTAAATAATCTACTTTTATTTGGGCTATCGGTATAATATCGGGCTATACTTTTATTCGGGCGGAGGGTATGTTGAGTTGAGCTGACTCTGAACTTTAGTTTCAAAACATTTTCCAATATCTTATCTTAGACAAAATTTGTGATTCCTTCAAAAAATATTTACATCTGTCTTTCGAACATATGATTGAATATCTATATATTAATTTGAAACTGTTTTTCATTGTCACAGCTATTTTGAGAGAACGGCTGGGCGTAGAAACTCGGCAGAGGTGTCTAAAGAAAGGTCTTGGTCTGTAGATGAGCCATCAAAAGAGAAACACGGTGAATTCCCTTGGGGCTCTGCCCCAGTGGCCTTTGAATTCCCATACCATGTTATTCTTATGGAGGAAAACGGGGTTTTTGTCACAGCTAATTTGAGAGAACGGCTGGGCGTAAAAACTTGGTAGGGGTCTCTAAAGAAAGGTCTTGGTCTGTAGATGAGCCATCAAAAGAGGAACGAGGTAAATTCCCTTGGGGCTCTGCCCTAGAAGCCTTTAAAGTTGCCTCTTCAGATTTGCTTACATTACGACCATATGCATAATTCTACACTACTTTTTAATGAAACAGCTGTTAATATTTAAATTGTGAATTATTGAATTTGTCAAAATAAAGTACAGTATTTGCAATGGGGTTTTCTGATTTTAAAATGGATTTTCTTCTGTATCATGTCATGTTTTGCAATATTATGTTCTATTACCAAATCATTGGAAAATCACAGTAACACACAAAATCACAAATAATAAACAAAAATCACACTAATATCACAGTAACTCTTAAAATTATTTCTTTTGGAGTTAACTTATATCTATTGTATGGTATGGTTTCTGCCTTTTTTACCACTTCTTGGAGATTGTACGTAGGTGATATTTGTTGGCATATTGCATCTGTAGACGAAACTTGGGTTGGTGTAATTATTACAATAGAAAAGAGCGAGAAATCCTGGACAATTTGATATAGGCTAAAAATAAAACTG